CATTGAAAGTTCTTCATCCTGGGAAACTCCTCAGCCCTTGGCAAACTGGGATGGTTAGCATCCACTCCCAGGCTGCTACTATAATTTAATATTCAGTAGTCACTGACAGACTGGGGAGGCTAGTCCATATTTATTCATTCAACAAACTTTTACTGGCCCTGGAAATATAATGCCTGCAAAGCATACAGAGTCGCTACCCTTACAGACTACACGAAATTCCTTATTTGCATTTAAGTGATATATATCTATATATTTTTTGAGACAGAGTTTTGCTCTTGTTGCCCAGGCTAGAGTGCAATGGCATGACCTCAGATCACTGCGAACTTTGCTCCCTGGGTTCAAGCAATTCTCCTGCCTCAGCCTCCTGAGTAGCTGGGATTACAGGCATGTGCCACCTTGCCTGGCTAATTTTTGTATTTTTAGTAGAGATGAGATTTCACCATGTTGGCCAGGGTGGTCTCAAACTCCTGACCTCAGGTGATCCACCTGCCTTGGCCTCTCAAAGTGCTGGGATTACAGGCATGAGCTACCACACCTTGCATTATATGTTATTAATCAAGCTGAATCTCCAAAAAGAAAAACAAAGAACAAAACGACAAAGCATATTTTCCCCTTAGTATCATGGTTGAAAATGTGAAAAGCTTCGTATCTGAGTCGTGGCACCAAAAAAAAAAAAAAAATATATATATATATATATATATATATATAAAGAAAATGTGAAAAGTAAGAAAAGTATAAAAAGGCAGAAAAAAATATTGGCAAGTTTCCTTTCAGTATTTTTCCTACATGTTTCCCAAGTTACTTCCTATCAGTGTCCTAAAAAATGCAAGTTAATTTTAACTTTGGCTGCAAACCAAGAACAAAAAGGTTAAGTGTATTGAATTAATTTTTCAAGCCAAAGTGAAAGGTTCTGAGGATGATCTGCTGCCTCCAAAGGTTCAATCCCTGTTTTTTTCCACTAGCAGGTGTGATCACAGGCTGGCCAAGGTGGGTAATGAGTTTCCCTCTCCTCAGCAGGCTTCCTGCTGTACAATTTTTTTCTTTTTGCAAATTAAAATGCTGCATTCACCTGATAATAAAAATCAAATAGAGGCTGGGCATGGTAGCTCACACATGTAATCCCAGCACTTTGGCAGGCTGAGGCGGGCAGATCACTTGAGGTCAGGAGTTCGAGACCAGCCTGACCAAGATGGTGAAACCCCGTTTCTTCTAAATATACAAACATTGCCTGGCATGGTGGCAAGTGCCTATAATCCCAGCTACTCAGGAGGCTGAGACAGGAGAATTGCTTGAATCCGGGCAGCGGAGATTGCAATGAGCTGAGATCGAACCATTACACTCCAGCCTGGGCAACAGGAGTGAAATTTGTCTCAAAAAAAAAAAAAAAAAGTAGAACAGAGATCACAAAGAAAAACAACAGGGCTTCACCCCTTGCCCTCCTATTCCACCCCATCCTACTCCACTTTCACAACCTAGAGGCAACCCCTTTAATGCTTTCTGTTTGCAATTTTGGAAGTTATTTCCAAAATTCTCATATTTCTCAACCTCCTGAGTAGCTGGGACTATAGGTGCACACCACCACATCCATAAAATGCTCATAGTTCTTTTTTTTCTGAGACGAAGTCACTCTGTCGCCCAGGCTGGAGTGCAGTGGCGCCATCTCAGCTCACTGCAACCTCCGCCTCCTGGGTTCAAGCCATTCTCCTGCCTCAGCCTTCCGAGTAGCTGGTACTACAGGCATGCACTACCACACCCAGTTAATGTTTTGTATTTTAGTAGAGATGGGGTTTCACCATGTTAGCCAGGATGGTCTCGATCTCCTGACCTCGCGATCCACCCACCTCGGCTCCCAAAGTGCTGGGATTATACGCGTGAGCCACCAAACCTGGCCTGAAAATGCTCATATTTCTAATTTCTTTTCTTTTCTTTTTTGAGACGAGGTTTCACTGTGTCCCTTGGGCTGGAGTGCAGTGACCTGATCTTGACTCACTGCAATCTCTGCTTCCCAAGCTTAAGCAATCCTCCTACCTCAACCTCCTGAGTAGCTGGGACTACAGGTGCACACCACCACATCCAGCTAATTTTTTTCTGTATTTTTGGTAGAGGTGATGTTTCAGCACATTGCTGATCTCTAACTCCTGAGCTCAAGCCATTTGCCTGCCTTGGCCTCCAAAAGAGCTGGGATCTGAGCCACTGCACCTGGCTTCTATTTCTTTATATATGAAATTTAGTTGATATTGACTTTTTTTTTTTTTTGAGACAGAGTCTCACTATGTCACCAGGCACCAAGCTGGAGTGCAGTGGCACAATCTCGACTCACTGCAACCTCTGTCTCCCGGGTTCAAGCAATTCTCCTGCCACTACGCCCAGCTAATTTTTGTATTTTTAGTAGAGACAGGGTTTCACCATGTTGGCCAGGATGGTCTTGATCTCTCGACCTCGTGATCCGCCTGCCTCGGCCTCCCAAAGTGCTGGGATTACAGGCTTGAGCCACCGCGCCCGGCCGATATCGACTTTCTAATATAAAACATGAATTGTTACATAAGCAGAATATGTATTAAAAAACATGAATTTTTTTTTTGTACCTCAGGCTGGAGTGTGGTGGCACGATTTTGGCTCGCTGCAACCTCCACCTCCCAGGTTCAATCGATTCTCCTGCCGCAGCCTCCCGAGTAGCTGGAATTACAGGCATCCACCACCATGCCCGGCTGATTTTTTGTATCTTTAGTAGAGACGGCGTTTCATCATGTTGGCCAGGCTGGTCTCACATTCCTGACCTCGTGATCTGCCTGCGTTGGCCTCCCAAAGTGCTGGGATTACAGGTGTGAGCCACCATCCCTGGCTCTATTTTTGTTTTTTGTTTTTTTTTTCTGAGACAGAGTCTCGCTCTGTCACCCAGGCTGGAGTGCAATGGCCTGATCTCAGCTCACTGCAACCTCCGCCTCCCGAGTTCAAGTGATTCTCATGCCTCAGCCTCCTGAGTAGCTGGGATTGCAGGTGCATGTCACCACACCTGGCTAATTTTTGTATTTTTAGTAGAGACGGGTTTTTACCATGTTGGCCAGGCTAGTTTTCAGCTTCTGACCTCATGATCCGCCAACCTCAGCCTCCAAAAGCGCTGGGATTACAGGCGTGAGCCGCCGCACCCGGCCTATTCCATCTATTTTTGTCAGTGTTTCTGGTGAGAGAAGCAGCTTGTAATTCCTCTTTCTCTCCTCATTTCTACATGTGACCTTTTCTCAGCTTCACATTAACAAAAGGCAAAATCGTGGGCATTTGCAGTCTTTGCTGTCATTAAGTCTTCTGGATCTTTCTATAGGTTGACTCTTAACAGTCAAAATTCAGTCAAGGATATTTACATTATTATGGCCACATAAACATTGGATAAGCTCAGGCCAAACAATGGGCTGGAATTACACTTGCTTCTCCATGTAGTCAATCACACAGTCCATGTGTCACTCAAAGAACAATGTGTCAAGCAAGCACTAAGGTCCAAAATTGATACCGTATCAATTGAATACAATTATGTCGTGTTATAGCTTGTTTTTCATTTATTTTATTTTTTTGAAAGACAAAGTCTTACTCTATTGCCCAGGCTGGAATGCAATGGCATAATCTCTCCTCACTGCAATATCTGCCTCCCACGTTCTCCTGCCTCAGCTTCCCAAGTAGCTGGGACTATAGGCATGCACCATCACAGCCAGCTAATTTTTGTATTTATTTTTTTAGACAAAGTTTTCCTCTTGTTGCCCAGGCTAGACTGCAATGTCTCAATTTCGGCTCACTGGAACCTCCACCTCCTGGGTTCAAGCGATTCTCCTGCCTCAGCCTCCCGAGTAGCTGGGATTACAGATGTGCACCACCATGTCTGGCTAATTTTTGTATTTTTATTAGAGATAGGGTTTCTCCATATTGGTAAGGCTGGTCTCGAACTCCCAACCTCAGGTGATCTGCCCACCTCAGCGTCCCAAAGTACTGGGATTACAGGCACGAGACATAGCGCCTGGCCCTAATTTTTGTATTTTTCAGTAGAGATGGGGTTTCACTACATGTTGGCCTGTCGAGTCTCGAACTCCTGAACTCAGGAGATCCACCTGCCTCAGCCTCCCAAAGTGCTGGGATTACAGGCATGAGCCACTGTGCCCAGCATATTTATTTGTTATTTATTTTATTTAAACTCCCCCACTCACCTATTTATTTTATTTTTTATAGAGACAGGGTCTTGCTCTGTTGCCCAGGCTTTGGTGCAATGGGATGATTGTAACTCACTACAATCTCAAACTCCTGGGCTCAAGTGATCCTCCTGACTTAGCCTCCAGAGAAGCTGGGACTACAGGGGCAGACCATCACACCTGGATAATTTTTCTTTTATTTTGTGTAGAGATGGGTGAGCGTCTCACCATGTTGCCCCAGCTGGTCTTGAACTCCTGCCCTCAAGAGATCTTGTCTCACCCTCTCAAAGCTCTAGGATTACAGGTGTGAGGCATGATGCCCAGCCCATATTTATTTTTTTTTATTATTTATTTATTACCATTATTTTTGAGACACAATTTTGCTGTGCAGCCCACGCTTGAGTTCAGTGCCCAGGTCATAACTCATGGAAACCTGGAATTCCTGGGCTCCAGTGATTCTCCTGCCTCAGTTTCCCAAGTAGCTGGGACTATAGGTGCATACCACAATGCCCAGCTGTTTTTTAATTACATCATGATTTCAGTTTTGAAAATTTTTTGAATATTCTTACTGCTTTTCTTTCTTTGTATACTTTTTTTTTTTTTTTTGAGACAGGATCTTACTCTGTTGCTCAGGCTGTTAGGCAGTGGTGTGATCACAGCTCCCTGCAGCCTTGACCTCCCAGGCTCACGTGATCCTCTCATCTCAACCTCCTGAGTAGCTGGGACTACAGGCATGCATGACCACGCCCAGCTCTATGGATTTTTTTCTGGACTCTCTAAGTATATTAGGTAGTACTCTTTGCATCTTGAATTATCTCTGCTTCCTCCAGTGTCAAATTTTGTTTGTTAATTTTGGACTTTCTTTTCTTTTTTGAGACAAGGTCTCCCTCTGTTGCCCAGGCTAGAGTGTAGTGGTGCAATCATGACTGACCTCAGCCTCAAACTCCTGGGCTCAAACAATCCTCCTTCCTCAGCCTCCTGAGTAGCTGAGACTACAGGTGTGGGCTAATTTTTTAAAAACTTTTCTGGAGAGATGGGGTCTTGCTATGCTGCCCAGGCCCATCTTGAACTCCTAGTCCTCAGCCTTGGCCTCCTGAGATTGCAGGTATGAGCCACCGTGCAGGGCCAATTTTGGTCTTTTCCACGGTGCTGGTCCTCCTCAGATGCATTGCAATGACGGGCTTCAGAACACGCTACCCCAGAGAAGGCACCTCGGCATGGTGAGTGTTTTAAGCTGAAGGAATTTAAGAAAACCGCAGAAGCCGAAGGGTGTTTCTTACCTTCTCCTGCCCTTTTCCCTAAACCAGGTCACACAACCCAGAACTCCCTGCCCTTTTCCTGAAGAAGCTAATAGTACCCTCATGTGAGAGGTGCCCTCCCTGCACCTGGAGGAAAGGAGCGTCCTTATCTCTGAAGACTCAGGGACACAGAGAAGAATCTGAACCAACAGGCCTTCCTGAGTTCCCCACCTCCCCGGTGATCCACAGGAGGTGCCCGCACAGGCACAGCCCCGTCGCTGCCGTGGCCGCACACAACGGGCCTCACCCTGCTGGTGCAAGCCTGGGCTAGACGCTCCGCGCTCCAAGGTCGGGTGGGCGCCCACTCAGTCCGCTGCGCGCACAGCGCCCCGGCGAGAGGCTCGGGGTTTAATCACACACTGCGTCCGGCTTCCTGTCCCCAGCGCCCCCTCCCGCCCCGTTTCCCTTGCCCCTCCCTCTCTGCAGCCTGATCCGCCCCGCCGGCTCCCCCTCTCCCGATCCCTCGGGTCCCGGGATGGGGGGGGCGGTGAGGCAGGCACAGCCCCCCGCCCCCATGGCCGTCCGTCGGAGCCAGAGGCTGAGGGGGCGCCGGGGGGAGCCGGGCACCGCCCTGCTGGCCCCACTCGCGCTGGGCCTGGGCCTGGCGCTGGCCTGCCTCGGCCTCCTGCTGGCTGTGGTCAGCCTGGGGAGCCGGGCATCGCTGTCCACCCAGGTGAGGCCCCGCTGCGCACCCCTTCCTGGACACATCAGGAGCTGCGACTGTAGAGGGACCGCTGGGGGCCGAGTGGGATAAGGGAAAGGGGGAGGGAGGGTGGGTGGAGGGCCAGATGTCAGGTGGAGCAGCACAGGGTGACGCTGCCTCCTTCCCAGCAGGAGCCTTCCCAGGGGGAGCTGGTGGCAGAGGAGGACCAGGACCCGCCGGTGAGTGGGCGTGGGCGCGGTCTGCAGGCCGCTGGGGCATGGGAAGAGTGCGCAGCTGAAGGGCAGGGTGTGTGCCGCTGTGCCAGCCGTACTCGAGGTGTGTGCAGGGTGTGTGTGAACCCAGTGCGTGCATGGGCGTGTGTCTGCAGGGACGTGTGTGCATGGTGACAACTGTGGGTTTGTGCCACCTGAGTCTGAGGTGCTTATTGGCTGGGGGTGGCGTGGGTGAATGAGACAGGTGAGGCTGTGTCAAAGAGGGGTGCGGTAGTGTACAGGGTTCATGTCCTCTGTGCGTGGTGACTGGGTGTGGGCGCATGTGCAATGCGCCAGTTGAGTTCAGGGTCTGCATCAGTTGTGGGTGGGGGCGAAGAGTGGCTGGTCTAGAGGAAAGGGTGAGGACTGGGGCCTGACTCCCAGCCTCACCTTTGCCTGGGGCCCCAGCTGTTGGCTGAGGGGCTTGATCTAAGACTTCTGTGCCTGTTGCTGGCTGGTGGCTCTCCTGACAGGCCCCATCTGTGTCCCTGTATATCTCTGGGAGTCCCTGGTTGAACCCTGCCCTAATTCCCCCAGGAACTGAATCCCCAGACCGAGGAAAGCCAGGATCCTGTGCCTTTCCTGAAACAACTAGTTCGGCCTCGCAGAAGTGGTGAGCGTCCCTCTATCCTGACCTCAGGAAGCAGGCAGAGCAAAAACCATTATCCACATGGAGAAACTAAGGCACGGAAGGTGAAAGGAGACTCAGAGTCACACAGCCAACCAGCCAAGACTCAAACCTAGGGATTCTGGTCCTCCTCTGAAACTCTGTCTGTCACACCTTACCCAAACATGGAGGTGGGGTGGCCATGAGTTAGAAGAACTCTGGGGGTCCTGATGGAGACTAGGCTGGGGAGTCAGAGGCCTGGGCCCCAACAGGCAGAGAGATTTAGGAATGGGATGAGGGGGATGACTAGAAAACCATGTGGCCAAGTCAGCAGGTAACTGTCCTGGTTCCCACCCGTTATCTCGATGTGATTAGCAGCAGCTTCCTGTTTTGCTCTCAGAAGTATCCCAGTGTGGATGACAAATTCGTGTGTGTGTATGTGAGAGTGACAGAGTCTCCCTCTGTCATCAGGCTGGAGGGCAATGGCGCGACCTTGGCTCATTGCAATCTCTGCCTTCAGGGTTCAAGCGATTCTCCTGCCTCAGCCTCCCAAATAGCTGGGACTACAGGTGTGCCACCACCTTGCCCAGCTAATTTTTTGTATCTTTAATAGATACAGCATTTCACAAGTTGTCCAGGCTGGTCTCGAACTCCTGACCTTGTGATCCGCCCTTTACAGCCTCCCAAAGTGCTGGGATTACAGGCATGAGCCACCCCGCCTGGCCTGGATGACAAATTATAGTCATTCTACTTACAGAGGAAGATGAGGCCTGAGCTTCTAAGGCCAGAAGTCTGGACAAGAGTAAAGATGCCAGGGTCCCTGAGAGTGGAATAGGGTTGGGAGAGTGACTCTGGGACCCCCAGGGGGGCCTGCTTTGCTCATCTATCTTTTTCTTGATTCTCAGCACCTAAAGGCCGGAAACCACGGGCTCGCAAAGCGATTGCAGCCCACTATGAAGGTGGGTGATGGGTGAGCCATGCCCGGCAGAGGGGGGCAGGTGGCACAGGGGCAGGGCAGGTCTCATCAGCCCTTTCCTGTGCTTTACAGTTCACCCACGACCTGGACAGGATGGAGCGCAGGCGGGTGAGACCCCATCCCCCCACAGCACTGGCCTCCTGGGAAAAGGGCCCCTCCAAACATTTGACTTCCCACTCCCTTCCCTGCCACAAGCCTCGGAACCACAGAAGTCAGTTCATGAAGGTCTTGGTTCTCTCTGTGACCCAGGCGTGGGACCCCATGAAAGACCCTGGAACTCTGCCCAGCTCCCCCAGCCAATCACTGGCTCAGCTCTCTCCTTCGGCCTTCACTCTTCTCCAAGACGCACTTTTCATTCTTTTTTCTTCTGTCTCCTCCATATTCCATGCCCTGATGATTCTCTCTCTCAAAATGCGCTATATCTAACTCATCTTTTCCCTTCTACCCTACCCGCTACCTCAGCACTTGACTTGAGAACTCAAACCCAGCCTCTGGCTCCTTCCCCACTCCACACCCTCCCCACCCCTCCACTCCATCCCACCTGTGCTGCTGTGCTGAGCCCCCAAACCTCACTTTTGTTATGGTACCGGCTCTCCGGTTGGCTTCCCATCTCTTCGAGGTCTGGTCTCAACCTAATTTCCCTGCACTTTTCTGCTGTCTCCATGCTCACGGGGCTGACACCTCTGCCCCCGGGGATGCCTCTTCTGGACTTTGCACATACCATACCCTCACCCAGAATGTCCTTCCACTGTGAGAGGCAGGGAGGCATGAGGGGTGCTGAGTCAATGGATTCACAGCAGAGATGGAGAGAAGTGGATGGGTTTGGCATGCATCCTGAAGATATTACTGATTTACGGATTGGAGGTAAAGAAAAGAAAGGAAGGAATCACAGATGACTTCTAGATTTTTTTTTTTATATTTTTTCTTTTTTTTTTTTAAAGACTGGGTTTCACCATGTTGGTCAGGCTGGTCTTGAACTCCCGATCTCAGGTGATCCGCCCACCTTGGCCTCCAAAGTGCTTGGATTACAGGCATGAGCCACCATGCCCGGCCAGATTTTTTTTTTAAGACAGAGTCTCACTCTGTCGCCCAGGCTGGAGTGCAGTGGTGTGATCTTGGCTCACTGCAACCTTTGCCTCCCAGGTTCAAGTGATTCTCCTGTCTCAACCTCCCAAGTCACTGGGACTACATGTGCACACCAGCTAATTTTTGCATTTTTAGTAGAGACGAGGTTTCACCATGTTTGCCAGGCTGGTCTTGAACTCTTGACCTCCCGTGATCTGCCCGCCTCGGCCTCCCAAAGTGCTGGGATTACAGGTGGGAGCCACCTCACCCAGTGGACTTCTAGATTTTTAACTTGGGTATCTCTGGGAATAATGATGCCATTTCCTAAGAAGGGGTTGACCAAGAAAGAAATAGGTTGGGAAGTATGTAAGATAATTATTAATTTTGAGATGTCTAAAAGAAACCAGTGGATAAATGATGATAAAGTGAATTCCACAAATAAATGGCTGGACATTGTCGACTAGCTCAGGCTAGAGCAGGATGAATAAAGACAGGAGTCATGGCCATATGGTTGGCCTTTTTTTTTCTTTCTGAGACAGAGTTTTGCTCTTGTTGTCCAGGCTGGAGTGCAATGGTGAGATCTCAGCTCACTGCAACCTCCACCTCCCAGGTTCAAGTGATTCTCCTGTGTCAGCCTCCCGAGTAGCTGGGATTACAGGCATGCACCACCACCCCCAGCTAATTTCTTGTATTTTTAGTAGAGATGGGGTTTCTCCATGTTGGTCAGGCTGGTCTTAAACTCCCGACCTCAGGTGATCCACCTGCCTCTGCCTCCCAAAGTGCTGGGATTACAGGTATGAGCCACCGTGCCTGGACTTTTTTTTTTTTTTTTTGAGACAGAGTCTTGCTCTGTTGCCCAGGCTGGAGTGCAGTGGCGGGATCTCGGTCCTCTGCAGTCTCCGCCTCCTGATTCCAAGCGATTCTCCTGTGTCAGCCTCCCAAATAGCTGAGATTATAGGTGGGCAATAATTTTTGATTATAGGCTAATTTTTGTATTATTAGTAGAGACGGGTTTTGCTACGTTGGCCAGGCTGGCCTTGAACTCCTGACCTCAGGTGATCTGCCCACCTCGGCCTCCCAAAGTGCTGAGATTACAGGTGTGAGCTGCTGCGCCTGGCCTACAGATGGCATCTAAAGCCACAGGATTGGATGAGACACCAGGTGAAAGAAGGGCCCCATGAATGAAGCCATGAGGCCCTTGGACATCTCAAAGTGGAGGTGAAGGGGAAACCAGCAGAGCCTGAGAAGCAGCCAGAGAGAGAGGAGGAAACCCAGGGAGGGTGGCATCCTAGATTCAGAGAAACCACCGTTTCAAGGAGGATGTGGCTGTCTGTGTTCAGTGCAGCTGAGAGATCACATGAGATGAGAACAGAGAAATGCTGGCTGGGTTTGGTAACATGCAAGTCAACTGCTGACCTTCAAGAGGGGGGTTTCAGTGGCATGGTGAGAACAGGAAGGCAGTGTGCATTGGGTTGAGAAGAAAATGGGAAATAAGGAACTAGAGGCAGTGACAACTCTTTTTAGAAGTTTCTCTGTAACAAGGAGTAGAGAAATAGGCCAGTAGGTGGAGAGGGGTGTGGACCAAGGAAAACTTTAGTTCTGTGAACAATACTATATTCATCTGAACATGTACAGAGGGCTTTCTTGAGATAGGCACTGTGTCTAGCACCTGTGTTCGGTCTTACCTAATCCTCACAACAGCCTTAAAAAGAAGATACTCTAATTACCTCCATTTTACAGATGGACGTTACACAACTTGTCTGAGGTCATGAGATACTAAGTGGTAGAGCCAAGATTTGAACCCAGCTAGAATGTGCCTGTGTACTGCACATGGTCTGCACGAGAGGCAAGGTGGCTGGTGCAGGGGTGAGGGGTCCATGCAGGGGCTACATCCAAAAAGGGGAGAGGGAAGTTTCTAGAGAGAAGACAGGACACATCTCCCACCCTTACCAGAGGGTCAAAGCGGAACAAGAGAACAGGTGGGTTTATAGATTAGCTGGGGGGCGATGAGGGAGCCTTGTGTTGATGACTTCTAGGTCCTCTGTACAACTAGGGAGATGGAGACAGAGGATTTGAGGAGAGATGATACAAAATCTCATATTGCTCAGTACGCGAGCAAGTTTCGTGGGGGAATGTAAGATTGCCAGGCAGTACAGAATGTCCAGATGAGTTTTGTGGCTGGAGACTAATGACACCAGGCAGGACCTCTGTGGTCCTGGGCACACCATGCCCTTTGGCAACAAGCAGCCTTTGCTCAGGCTGGCTCCATAGCTAGGAATGCCCTCTCTTCTCTGCCCTCCCTACTCTTCATGCCAGGTCAACCTTCCTCCCCTCCGTGTAGACCACTTATTTTGGAATGTCTGGAATGAATACAGACATTCATTCATTGATTGCCGCAACATGCACTGAGGACCTTCTGTTTGCTAGGGGCCAGGCGAGGTGCCCAGAGTGACTAATATCCAGACCCATTTTTTTTTTGAGGTGGAGTTTTGCTCTTGTTGCCCAGGCTGGAGTACCATGGTGCGGATCTCAGATCACTGCCCCCTTCCCGGGTTCAAGTGATTCTCCTGCCTCAGTCTCCCGAGTAGCTGGAATTACAGGCACCTGCCACCATGCCTGGCTAATTTTTTTGTATTTTTAGTAGAGACGAGGTTTCACCATGTTGGCCAGGCTGGTCTCGAACTCCTGACCTCAGGTGATCTATTCACTTCAGCCTCCCAAAGTGCTGGGATTACAGATGTGAGCTACTGTGCCCAGGCTCAGACTAATTCTTAAGGAGTCACTGTCTAGGAGAGAAGACAAGCATATAAATTTATAATTACATGCTGGATGAGGTGGCTAATGCCTATAATCTCAGCACTTTGGGAGGTCAAGGTGGGTGGATCACTTGAGGTCAGGAGTTCCAGATCATTCTGGCCAACATGTGAAACCCCGTCTCTACTAAACATACAAAGAAAAAAGTTAGCCAGGTGTGGTGGCACACACCTGTGATCCCAGCTACTCAGAAGGCTGAGGCATGAGAGTTGCTTGAACCCAGAAAGCAGAGGCTGCAGTGAGCTGAGATCATGCCACAGTACTCCAGCCTGGGTGACAGAGTAAGACTCCACCTCTAAATAAATAAATAAATAAATAAATAAATGTAATTACAGTACAATATGACAAAAACAGTAAGGAAAGTGGCCAAAGATACCTGGCAGCACAGGGGCAGACAGACATGGCTGTGGAGTCAGGGATTCCCTCCCTACATTGCAAGACGCCACTCGGCCTTGAAGCAGGAGTGTAAGACAGGCAACGGGTCAAGGCTGGGGAACTGTAAGTTCAGTGTGGCAGAAGCAGAAAGTGCTAGAGGAGTGAGATGAGGACGAGGCTGGAGACAGAAGCCTGCCGGTGGGGACTATTCTGAGGCGAGCCATCGGAAGTAGTAAGGCAAGGCGAGGCAGGCTCACATTTGCATCTTAGAGACTCATTCTGTGGCTTCGTGTAGGGAATAAACTGGAGGAAGTAAGATGGAAACAGGGAATGCTGTGAGAAACCAGACGGAGGTACCAGATGGGGGGAGGGGTGAGAGATCTATTTAGGAGGCAGAATTGATAGCAACTGGTGATGGATGAATGACATGGTAAAGGAGAGGCAGGCTTGAGTATCCTACTGGTAGCAGAACCAGAAGCCAAATGCGGGAGACAGTAGCAAGTGTGGGATGCCAGGAGTCAGCTCAGTGTTGGATGAGATGAGTTTGAGGGGCTGCTGCTGTTCAGAGGGTGCAGTTGGCAGGATGAGTAAGGGAAGGAAACTTCAGTGCTAGAGACTCTGCAGAGCACAGGTTGTGGGAACCCATCAGTGAAAATAAAAAAGCCCAGTGAGCGTAACTTTTTTTTTTGAGATGGAGTTTCACTCTTGTTGCCTAGGCTGGAGTGCGATCTCAGCTCACTGCCCGCTTCCTGGGTTCAAGTGATTCTCCTGCCTCAGTCTCCTGAGTAGCTGGGATTACAAGTATGCATCACCATGCCTGGCTTTTTTTTTGTATTTTTAGTAGAGACAGGGTTTCACCATGTTGACCAGCCTGGTTTCAAACTCCTACCTCAGGTGATCCATTCACCTCAGCCTCCCAAAGTGCTGGGATTACAGGCATGAGCGCCTGCACCCAACCTTGCTCTGTTGCTCAGGCTGGAGTGCAACGACATGATCTTGGCTTACTGCAACCCCCCCCACCCCCGCCCCGTGGTTCAAGAGATTCTCCTGCTTCAGTTTCCGAGTAGCTGGAATTACAGGTGCCCACCACCATGCCCAGCTAATTTTTGTATTTTTAGTAGAGATGGAGATTCACCATGCTGGCCAGGCTGATCTCTAACTCCTGACCTCAAGCAATCCACCCACCTCAGCCTCTCAAAATGCTGGGATTACAGGCATGAGCCACTGCACCTGGCCGAGCATGATGTTTTCGAGGTGCATCTGTGCCATAGCATGTATCAGTACTTCACTCTTTCTATAGCCAAATAATACCCATTATATGGATAGACACTTTGTTTATCCACTCATCAGTTGATGGATGTTTGGGCGACATTTTATTATTTTTAATTGTAATAATTCAAGTAATGCATGTTTACATCCTCAACATAAAAGAAGCAAATAATATAGATATCCATGAAGTGAAACGTTAAAGTCCCCACACTTATCCTTCAGTTCTTCTCTCCAGAAGTGACTGCAGGGGACAATCTGCCCTGAATGTCTCTGGCAATATATGTTAGATTTTTCATATCACTTCCTATTCAACCATGGGGGCCACAGGGCATGGCTCCTCCCTTGGCTGGGGTGATCTATGTGTCTTCTGGGTAAAGTGGGCCCCGAGTGTTCATCTGCTCAATGGATCCCTGGGGAGCATGGGAGAATCCTGTAGAAGGACGTTTCCTTATTTCTGAGCATCCATGTTCAGGTGTGGACGGGACAGTGAGTGGCTGGGAGGAAGCCAGAATCAACAGCTCCAGCCCTCTGCGCTACGACCGCCAGATTGGGGAGTTCATAGTCACCCGGGCTGGGCTCTACTACCTGTACTGTCAGGTAAGCCACACCTGGCTGCAGGGCTAACGCAGTAAGGGAGGGGCGAAGGGTTTGCCAGGAGAGTGGGAACAAGCTTCAAGGCTGGGAGGGTGAGTTGGGGTTTGGGTGGGATGGGATGCCTGAGTCGCTGAGGAAACTGGAAACTGAGGCGAGGGCAGGCAGAGGCCTGGACTCGGCCTGTGGTCCCCACCCAGGTGCACTTTGATGAGGGGAAGGCTGTCTACCTGAAGCTGGACTTGCTGGTGGATGACGTGCTGGCCCTGCGCTGCCTGGAGGAGTTCTCGGCCACGGTGGCGAGTTCCCTCGAGTCCCAGCTCCGCCTCTGCCAGGTGTCTGGGCTGTTACCCCTGCGTCCAGGGTCCTCCCTGCGTATCCGCACCCTCCCCTGGGCCCATCTCAAGGCCGCCCCCTTCCTCACCTACTTCGGACTCTTCCAGGTTCACTGAGGGGCCCTGGTCTCCCTGCAGTCATACAGGCTGCCAACTCCCCTCGGCAGCTCTCTGGGCACCCAAGTCCCGTCCTCCCCACCCTCAGCTGCTCTTTGCTCCAGACCTGCCCCTCCCTGTAGAGGCTGCCAGAGCCTGTTCACTTGTTTTCCATCCCACATAAATACAGTATCCCACTCTGACCTTACAACACCCCCCACCGCCCACTTTCCACCTCACTAGCTCCCAAATCCCTAACTCTTTGAGGCCCCCAATGATCTCTTGACTCCCCACTGGCCACAGACCCCCAGGGCATTGTGTTCACTGTACTCTGTGGGCAAGGACGGGTCCAGAAGACCCCGCTTCAGGCATTAAGAGGGGCTGGACCTGGTGGCAGGAAGCCAGAGACTGGGCCTCGGCCAGGAGTCCCCAAATGTGAGGGGCGAGAGACAAGACAAGTTCCTCCCTTGAGAATTCCCTGTGGATTTTTAAAACAGATATTATTTTTATTATTATTGTGACAAAATGTTGATAAATGGATACTTAAGTCGAATGAATCATAGTCTCTCTCTTTATTGGGGCTCAGGGGACACTCCCAGGGTAGCTGGGGGCCATGGGAAGGGGGGAATTGGGGAGTGGCACAGCTGGAATGCCAGGGTGATGTTCAAGTTTGGGCACAGGGACCTCCATGCCTCCAATCCCCAGGAGGGAAAAGAAGGTAGAAAGGTACACTGCCCAGGAAAAAAATCAATCCCCCGTCCAGGGTTCAGGAGAAACGGCCTCTTTCCCCGGGAGGCAGACTTCCTCCTTCAGGGGAATCCCTCCCTGACTGGGAGGAGCAGGGGCCCTTCCTCTTGGTGGCTTCGGGACATTCAGCAGGTGCTGGCACAGGCCCTGGCTGGGAGGTGGGGTGGGCAGGAGCCAGCCCAGAGGGGGGCTCAGAGTCAGCAGGCACATGGGAAGCCTGGACCCTGTGTGCTGGGGAGGAATCCTGCATCGGCCGGGGTCTTGGGGCTGCTTCTTTGTCTCTTCGTCCAGAGCCTTATGTAAGAGCTTTTCTCGGGAAACAGGAAGTCCTGCTTGCCAAGTTCAGCACAGGGAGTAGTGCAGGCCTTATTCCAACACACCCGGCCCAGCCTTAACCCCAGAACTCAGCCAGTTTCTTGCTTCCGTGCCCCTGGTTCTCCTCCCCACTGAGTTCACCCCTCCTTTCCCGCTTTCAGTCACCCCTAGTCAACTGCTCCAACAATCTCTCCTGTGCCTGAGCCGGAGGGTCTTCCACCCTCACCACCACCCTGGACACTGCCCAGCTTGGCCCCCCATCCTGCTCCTGGCACCATGCCCTCTAGCCAGCCAACCTTCCCTCCCCCAACCCTAGGGCCGCCCCAGGGTTCCTGCGCACTGGCCGCTCCTCCTGGGTGTCACTGGCAGCCCTGTCCTTCCTAGAGGGACTGGAACCTAATTCTCCTACGGCTGAGGGAGGGTGGAGGGTCTCAGAGTGCCAGGAGCACTGACAGTACCCTTAGCTTGCTTTCCTCCTCCCTCCTTTTTATTCTCAAGTTCCTTTTTATTTCTCCTTGCGTAACAACCTCCTTCCCTTCTGTACCACTGCCCGTACCCCTACCCGCCCTGCCACCTCCTTGCTACCCCACTCTTGAAAGCACAGCTGTTGGCAGGGTCCCCAGCTCATGCCAGCCTCATCTCCTTTCTTGCTAGCCCCCAAAGGGCCTCCAGGCAACATGGGGGGCCCGGTCAGAGAGCCGGCATTCTCAGTTGCCCTCTGGTTGAGTTGGGGGGCAGCTCTGGGGGCTGTGGCTTGTGCCATGGCTCTGCTGACCCAACAAACAGAGCTGCAAAGCCTAAGGAGAGAGCTGAGCCAGCTGCAGAGGACAGTAGGGCCCTCCCAGAAGAGGGAAGGGTATCCCTGGCAAAGTCTCCCGGAGCAGGTGAGTGAGGGGAGGAGGGTGTCCGGGAGAGATGGATGGTTAGCATTCGGGGCCTCTGGGCCTCCTGGTCTGCAGTTTCAAGGGGGTGCAAGAGAGGGTCTCCAGTTTGGAAGTCAGGGGTGCGGCCATTCCAGGAAAGGAAACTGTTAAAGGTTAATGCTTCTCAAACCTAACAAATCCTGGAGGGCAGCCAGCACCAACACTCAGGTTGCTGGGAAAAGGTGCACGAGAGATTTGAGGCATTTCGGGGGCAGGGGAAGGCTGGAAAGGAAGGCTGGCTGGGACCTTTGCATCTTAATCTAACCCTGACCCTCTTTCCATGAGCAGAGTTCCGATGCCCTGGAAGCCTGGGAGAATGGGGAGAGATCCCGGAAAAGGAGAGCAGTGCTCACCCAAAAACAGAAGAGTGAGGCTTCTAGGGTGCAGCAGGGGTGGGAGGTGATCAAGCAGCATGGGGACTGTAAGCCCGAGTCAGGGTGAGGGTGGAGGCTGCCAATAGCACAACGGGGGAAGGTGGACGCAACTGAAATTCCCTCCTTCCTTCCTCAGAGCTGCGCTCCATCTTGCACCTGGTTCCCATTAACGTCACCTCCAAGGGTGAGCACTATTTTAAATAATGGCTTTGGGGAGGGGCAATGACCAGGAACTCTGGGGCTGGCACTTGGGCTCAAGGGTTTCTTATAGGTGAAAGGGAAAGCATCTGAGAGTGAAATCCTGACCAACATGCTATCTCCAGATGACTCTGATGTGACAGAGGTGATGTGGCAACCAGCTCTAAGGCGTGGGAGAAGCCTACAGGCCCAAGGATATGGTGTCCGGATCCGGGATGCTGGAGTTTATCTGCTGTATAGCCAGGTAACCCCAGCCACACTCTGAGCTTCACGGGGGCGGGGGGGGGGGGGTGCTCTTCGATGTTCTCCCAGAGCCTCTTTGGCCAGCTCCTAAGGGTTTGTGACCCCTCTATTCATATCAAGCCTAGCAGACCCTTCTTTCTTCCCTGGTTAGCACTCCTGAGGCCTCCCAGAACTGAGCCAGGCCATCCGGTTTTCTTCAACATCTCCCTTCCCTGCCAGGTCCTGTTTCAAGACGTGACTTTCACTATGGGTCAGGTGGTATCTCGAGAAGGCCAAGGAAGGCAGGAGACTCTATTCCGATGTGTAAGAAGTATGCCCTCCCACCCAGACCGGGCATACAACAGCTGCTATAGTGCAGGTGAGAGCCGTGCAGTCAGTGGCGAGCAGGCCATCTCTGACCCCGGGATAGCAGTGCAGGGAGCTACTGCTAGGAGGTTGGAGGACTAAATAGAGGCGGGTCTGAGGAGTGAAGCGAAGAAGGCCTGGGTCCTTCCAGGAGGCAGAGGAAAGGTGGAGCTGAAGGCAGGGGGAAACTGGCATCTGGATGGCTGTATGTCACTGCGAATCTACCTTCTCCCTTTTCTCAGGTGTCTTCCATTTACACCAAGGGGATATTCTGAGTGTCATAATTCCCCGGGCAAGGGCGAAACTTAACCTCTCTCCACATGGAACCTTCCTGGGGTTTGTGAAACTGTGATTGTGTTATAAAAAGTGACTCTCAGCTTGGAAGACCAGGGTGGGTACATATTGGAGGCAGCCAAGAGCTGAGTATATAAAGGAGAGGGAATGTGAGGGAAGAGAGGCTTCTTCCTGGGTTTGGCTCCCCGTTCCTCACTTTTCCCTTTTCATTCCCACCCCTTAGACTTTGATTTTATGGATATCTTGCTTCTGTCCCCCATGGAGCTCCGAATTCTTGCGTGTGTGTAGGTGAGGGGCGGGGGACGGGCGCCAGGCATTGTCCAGACCTGCTCGGAGCCCACTGGAAGCATCCAGAACAGCACCACCATCTAGCGGCCGCTCGAGGGAAGCACCCGCCTGTTGGCTCAAGTCCACGAAGCCGCCCTCTGCTAGGGAAAACCCCTGGTTTTCCATGCCACACCTCTCTCCAGGTGCCCTCTGCCTCCTCACCCCACAAGAAGTCTTATCCTACATCCTTCTCTCCGTCTATCGTGCCCCAGTTTCCATCACTATCTCCAGAAATGTATCTATTATGCGCCCGTCTACAGGGGATGCCCGACGACGACGGTGCCTTCGCAGTCACATTACTCTTCGGGTCCCAAGGAAAGGCTTTCGTGCGCTCCACTGCCCCGGCATGGCAGGCCACTCCAAGTCCCTCCGGACTGGAACTGGTGTCGGGGGGAGCCTTGGATGAATCGTACGCCCTGGTGTTGGTGTTGCCTTACTCCTCTGAGTTCTTTCTGATCAAGCCCTGCTTAAAGTTAAATAAAAGAGAATGAATGACACCCCGGCTCCACTTCCCCCACTGCCCTGCTTCAGTCCCATCCTCGTACGGGGATTTCCCGGCCTCCTGAGGCGCGCTCCCCACCGGACTAAGATACTAGCGGCGCCACTAGACTCAGGCCCTAGAACTCCAAGACAGAGCGCAACGCAAAAGGGAAGGCCACGCGCAGCCGGGCGGCGGATGTGCGCAAGCGCAGCCCCGCAAAGCGCTCTGGGCGGGCCGGTCCCACGGCGCCGGCGTCCTCGGGTAGGCGGGGCTGGGCGCGTGGTGGCCGCGCCGGCGCTCTTCGCCGGGCGTGACGTACTAATCGTGCGCGGCCGCTGCCGGTGGGCCCGGGGCTCGAGGGAGGGGAAGGAAGAGGAGGAGGAGGAGGAGGGGGAGGAGTGGCGGCGGCGGCGGCGGTGGAAGTAGAAGCTGAAGCTGAAGCAGAGCCGGAGGCGGCGCGGTGGGGTGCTCCGCGGTGCGGCACGCGGCCCAGAAGCGTTGGAATCTTGAATTGAGACGGCTGCGCCTAAAGACAGCGGGAGTGGCGGGGCCGCCGCCGTCGCCGGAGAGATGAGCCGGGAAGCCTGAGGCCGGAGACGCCCGCCCTCGGGCCCGTCCGCCCGGCTTCCCCGCTCCCGGTGAGGATGCCCCCTCCCCTCCCCCCAGCCATGCCGTGGCCTCTCCCATTCCTGAGCCTCGCTCCCACCGAACCGGGCCCAGAGGCCCGCAGAGGGGCTTCTTAAGGTCCGTGTGCGCAGAGCCATCCAAGCTCGTGGGACCAGACTGGTGCCGGGATGCGTTCTGTTTCCCGAGGATGAAGTAGGAGGGGGCTGGGCCTGCCTGGCTCGTGCGTCCCGTTCTGTCCCAGCGCCTTGACTGGGTTTGGGTTCTCTTTAAGTTTCCTTCAGAGTCCTTCCCTGTTTATCAGCCTCTACCCCCTGAACCATAGCCTTGGCATCCGCCTGCCCACGACCCCCGTTCATCCAAGGTGTTAGAGAACTGTCTCCCACTCCAGCCCACAGTTTCCCCGTGCAAGTTGTATTTTCCTCGGGTACCACCGTATCATGTCCCTGAGGAAAGAAATCGCCTTTATTGGGCCCTCAAAGGACAGCCCTGATGGTATTAAAGTAACGAAGTAGAACCTGGCAGTGCTGTTGGGTTTAGCCTGGGCATCTCAGAAGTAAGATCTCTGAGGCCTGCAGCTTAGCCATTTGCCCTTGTTTCTGGACAGCGGAGAGATGATGACACAGACCCTAAAGGGCCCCTTGTGGATTATGTTAACTGGGAAGATCTGAGTTAGGAATTTTGCGTTTTTTCCTCTTTTCTTTATTTGCATCTGAATCCAGAGGAGGCATGCCCAGGAAGAGAAGCAGGATCTGCAGGGCAACGATGCTTATACCCTGATCTTTGTTTTTCAGGGTACTGGAAGATGAAAGAGACTATACAAGGGACCGGGTCCTGGGGGCCTGAGCCTCCTGGACCCGGCATACCTGCAGCTTATTCAAGTCCCAGGCGGGAACGTCTTCGTTGGCCCCCACCTCCCAAACCCCGACTCAAGTCAGGTGGAGGGTTTGGGCCAGATCCTGGGTCAGGCACCACAGTGCCAGCCAGACGCCTCCCTGTCCCCCGACCCTCTTTTGATGCTTCAGCAAGTGAAGAGGAGGAGGAGGAGGAGGAAGAGGAGGATGAAGATGAAGAGGAGGAAGTGGCAGCTTGGAGGCTGCCGCCCAGATGGGGTCAGCTGGGAACCTCCCAGCGGCCCCGCCCTCCCCGCCCCACTCATCGAAAAACCTGCTCACAGCGCCGCCGTCGAGCTATGAGAGCCTTCCGGATGCTGCTCTACTCAAAAAGCACCTCGCTGACATTCCACTGGAAGCTTTGGGGGCGACACCGGGGCCGGCGGCGGGGCCTCGCACACCCCAAGAACCATCTTTCACCCCAGGAAGGGGGTGCGACGCCACAGGTGCCATCTCCCTGTTGTCGTTTTGACTCTCCTCGGGGGCCACCTCCACCCCGGCTGGGTCTGCTAGGTGCTCTCATGGCTGAGGATGGGGTGAGAGGGTCTCCACCAGTGCCCTCTGGGCCCCCCATGGAGGAAGATGGACTCAGGTGGACTCCAAAGTCTCCTCTGGACCCTGACTCGGGTAAGGTGGGAAAGGGGCAGGGGGAAGGGTTAGGGAGGGATAAGAGCCTGGAGCACCAGGAGCCAGTTGCTGGGGTGAGAACTGGGCTGAAGGAAAGTAGCATGGTGGGGTGATGACTCCAGAAGAGCCACAAAATGTCTTCATTAAGCCCCACTGTGAGCAGAAAGTAAGCCTGGGAGTAAGAATCCCTAAGTAGTTATTCTGTGGTCTTTCACGCAGATGAGAAAGGGAGCTATGGTGTAGAAAAATCCGTCCACTCGGCCGGGTGCGGTGGCTCACGCCTGTAATCCTAACACCTTGGAAGGCCAAGGCAGGCAGATCATGAGGTCGAGAGATGGTGAAACCCCGTCTGTATTAAAAATACAAAAATTAGTCGGGCAAGGTGGCATGCGCTTGTAGTCCCAGCTACTCGAGAGGCTGAGGCAGGAGAATTGCTTGAACCTGGGAGGCAGAGGTTGCAGTGAGCCAAGATTTGTGCCATTGCACTCTGGCCTGGCAACAGAACAAGACTTTGTCTCAAAAAATAAAAATAAAAAAAATCTTGTCCACTCGAAATGCCTCTGGCCTCTCAGTATAAGAACCCCCATGTGTACATCTCCAGAGGGTACTACTCCCATTCTGGTGCGATGGGCTCTCTCCCAGTAGTGGAGTACATCTTCTTACAGTTGTGAAAGAATGTTTCCCTTTTGGAGAACTCCAGCCAAACAGTTTCAGGCTCTCTACATCTGTATTAAATATTCAAGTATTCGTTGAGCCTTTACAACATGCTGGGTACTATGCTAGGTCTTTGGCATATAGTGGTGACAGATATCCTGAAGTTTACATTTCTAAATGGTAATACTTTTTCTTTCTTCCTGTGAGTAGGAACTCTTTCTCTCTGTCCCTGTAGAACCTCTTGGACATGTCTGTCTTATGCCTCATGGGGTCCTGTTTCTTGCAGTGGGATTGATGTTGGTAGATTCTGCTTCAGTGTATCCTCCTGGAGGTCTTACTGGCATGCATGAGTTAACTCTGTCATCCCACTGTCCTTTCACTTGGGCCAGTCTCTCATCCATTCCATTTCCCTTGTCCTATAGGCCTCCTTTCATGTACTCTGCCCAACGGTTTTGGGGGACCATCTGGGCCAGAAGGGGAACGCAACTTGGCACCCCCTGATGCCAGCATCCTCATCAGCAATGTATGCAGCATCGGGGACCATGTGGCCCAGGAGCTTTTTCAGGGCTCAGATTTGGGCATGGCAGAAGAGGCAGAGAGGCCTGGGGAGAAAGCCGGCCAGCACAGCCCACTGCGAGAGGAGCATGTGACCTGCGTACAGAGTAAGGAGCCCTTGAGCAGCTAGTTTCTCTCCCTCCACTGACTCCCAGAGTCGAGTCTGGAGGCCTCACCCCGCTCCTCTCTCCCTTTCCGCTCAGGCATCTTGGATGAATTCCTTCAAACTTATGGCAGCCTCATACCCCTCAGCACTGATGAGGTGGTAGAGAAATTGGAGGACATTTTCCAGCAGGAGTTTTCCACGCCTTCCAGGTGAGGCTTGCAAGCCCTCCTTCAAAGGAGGGCCAGGGCCTGGGGGATGTGGAGAGAATGCTGCTGCCTTTTTTCCCACAGCGCTGTACTTGGGGAGGAGAAAGCTAGAGCTGAAAGGGAGGACTCTGCAGGCAAGGTGCCAACTCCTTGTAAACTGACTGGGAGAGTCTTTACCTGGGACCCTGAAATGTTATACTTGAGTAGTCATGTTTATCTTTCTGGGGAGTGGGCCTTTAAGTAGGTCCTCAGAAGGACCCATCATGACCCCCCAAAAAAGGGGTCACAGTTTTTATTCTAGGGAGTAGTAGGCATTTCTGTGTGTCCCAGCTGTATCATCTCTTGTGTGACTCCACCCTTGGCCTACTCAGGAAGGGCCTGGTGTTGCAGCTGATCCAATCATACCAGCGGATGCCAGGCAATGCCATGGTGAGGGGCTTCCGAGTGGCCTATAAGCGGCATGTGCTGACCATGGATGACTTGGGGACCTTGTATGGACAGAACTGGCTCAATGACCAGGTGAGAAGGGGTGGAGAAACAGGCCTGAGTGGGGATTCAGGGAGCAGGGTGTTCGGGGCCCTCTGCATGGGGGAGCCCTGTGCCCATGCCACACCCTCCATGGCAAGTTGCCTCCCATCTTCTCCCCAGGTGATGAACATGTATGGAGACCTGGTCATGGACACAGTCCCTGAAAAGGTAGGCACACCCAGACAGGTCTACACCCAGAAGAACTTCTGCAGCTTTAAGCAGCTTTTTAAGCCCTTTTCATCTCTTCCATTTTTTATAAAGAGGGTCTCTGTTTCAGGGAGAGAGGTGGTAGGTAGTAGTGTATTAATTTCAAATCTGTAATCTTGGCCCTGGATTTATCCGTTGTTTTCCTTTCTGCCAGTAGTCAGTGTTTTTCCCTATGGCCAGCCCAAAGAATTGGGATGGGATCCCATTATAAGCTTAAAAAAAAAAAAGGCTGCTGGGTGCAGTGGCTCACGCCTTTGGGAGTGAGCCGAGTAATCCCAGCGCTTTGGGAGGCCGAGGCGGGAGATCACCTGAGGTCGGGAGTTTCAGACCAGCCTGACTAACATGGAGAAACCCCGTCTCTACTAAAAATACAAAATTAGCTGGGCTTGCTGGCGCAGGCCTGTAACCCCAGCTACTGGGGAAGCTGAGGCAGAAGAATTGCTTGAACCGAGGAGGAGGAGGTTTTGGTGAGCTGAGATTGCACCATTGCATTCCAGCCTGGTCAACGAGCGAAACTCCATCTCAAAAAACAAAAATAGACAAAACAACTTTGGCTGGGCATGGTGAGTCATGCCTGTAATCCCAGCACTTTGGGAAGCTGAGGCTGGTGGATCACCTGAGGTCAGGAGTTCAAGACCAGCCTGGCCAACATGGTGAAACCCTGTCTCTACTAAAAATACAAAAAAATTAGCTGGGCATAATGGCGGGTGCCTGTAGTCCCAGCTACTCGGTAGGCTGAAGCAGGAGAATTGCTCGAACCCTCGAGGTGGAGGTTGTAGTGAGTTGAAATTGTGCCACTGCACTACAGCCTGGATGACCAAGCAAGAAAAAAAAAAACAAAAAAGTCCTGGCTTTTTGACTCATACCTATCATCTCAATGCTTTGGGAAGCTGAGGCAGGTGGACAGATAGATTGCTTGAGGCCAGGAGTTTGAGACCGATCTGGGCAACATAGTGAAACCCTGTCTCTACCAAAAAAAGAAAAAAACTACCAAAAAACAGAATTTGTTTTTACTGTCAGTGGACTGGGCAGCAGGGGAAGACTTAGTGGGAGAGTCTGAAGTCTTTTAATCCCATTGAGTTTTTTTGTGTTGTTGGCACAGGTGCATTTCTTCAATAGTTTCTTCTATGATAAGCTCCGTACCAAGGGTTATGATGGGGTGAAAAGGTGGACCAAAAACGTGAGTTTTGAATTTACATCTGCTTGTGTAATGCCTTGCCCCTAAAGAATGAGAGTCTTGCCGGGCGCGGTGGCTCAAGCCTGTAATCCCAGCCCTTTGGGAGGCTGAGGCGGGAGGATCTCGAGGTCAAGAGATCGAGACCATCCTGGTCAACATGGTGAAACCCCGTCTCTACTAAAAATACAAAAAATTAGCTGGGCATGGTGGCGCGTGCCTGTAATCCCAGCTACCCAGGAGGCTGAGGCAGGAGAATTGCCTGAACCCAGGAGGCAGAGGTTGTGGTGAGCCGAGATCGCGACATTGCACTCCAGCCTGGGTAACAAGAGTGAAACTCCGTATTGGAAAAAAAAAGAATGAGAGTCTTGTTTTCTATGATCCCTTTCACTGACCCTGTTCATTCGGTCTTTCAAAGATTAAATATCTCCTGTGTGTCTAGGCACTAAGGATATGGTATTAAATGAGGGAAACTTGCCCTAGTAGAGTGAGAATAAAGTTAGATTGCAGCTAGTGAGCAGTGCTGTTGGCAGATCAAAACAGTAATGTGAGGCCAGCCGAGGTGGCTCATACCTGTAATCCTAGCATTTTGGGAGGCCGAGGTAGGCGGATCACCTGAGGCCAAGAGTTTGAGACCAGCCTGGCCAACATGGAGAAATGCTGTCTCTATGAAAAATACAAAAATTAGCCTGGCGTGGTGGCAAGTGTCCATAACCCCAGCTGTTGGAAAGGCTGAGGCAGGAGAATCACTTGAACCTGGGAGGCAGAGGTTGCAGTGAGCTGAGATCTCACCATTGCACTCCAGCCTGGGCTACAAGAGCAAAACTCCGTCTGAGAAAAACAAAACAGAGTAATGTGATAGTGTGGAAAGTTGGCACTTTAGATTGGTGGTCTAAGAAGGCCTCTCATAGCTGAGACTTGAGATGAGCAGCCAGCCATGTACACAGCTGGGAGAGGAGTGTTTAGGCAGAGGGAACAGCAAGTACCCGAGACCCAAAGTGAAAAACATGGTTCAGGAATACAGGGCTTGTGTGGGTGACGTGTAGTTGAAGCAGAGTGAGCAAAGGGAGACCGATCCAAAATTCCTTCAGAGGCCAGGTGCAGTGGCTCATGCCTATAATCCCGGCACTTTGGGAGGCCGAGGCGGGCAGACCACGAAGTCGAAAGATTGAGACCATGCTGGCCAACATGGTGAAACCCTGTCTCTACTGAAAATACAAAAAAATTAGCCGGGCGTGGTAGCAGGCACCTGTAGTCCCAGTTACTCAAGAGGCTGAGGCAGGATAATCATTTAAACCTGGGTGGCAGAGGTTGCAGTGAGCTGAGATCGCACCACTGCCCTCCAGCCTGGGTGACAGAGTGAGACTCCATCTCAAAAAATATATATATATATTTTTGGTCAGAGAGTAGATCATGTAAGACATGTACGGTAGGCTAAGGAGGGTGGATTTTATTGTGCGTGTACTGAGAAGTCATTGAGTTTTAAGCAGGCTGAGAAGTGCCTCCTGTTTTAAACTCCTGTTTCAGTGGGAGATTGAAAGGGGGAAAGAATGGAAGCAGGAACAGAGAACAGAAGTCCAGGTGAGAAACTTGAACTGGAGTGTTCGAGAGAGAGAGAGAGCGCACGCGAGAGAGAGAAAGTTTTATGTAGGATAAATTTTACAAGTAAAACCAGTAGGACTGCAGGTTCTGTGATACTGAGAGATACATATTTGGTCTCCTGACCAGGCTCCTGGCATTCAGCTCCTAAAATCCTTGGAATCTCCAGTGATGTGTGTTTTGTATGCTCATGAGTTGATTAATGGCTAGCCCCTCTAGTTGGCTTCATTATTAGAGGGTGGGAACTTTTCATCCTTACCCCCACCAACTTCCCGGGAGGCAAAAGGGGTTAAAGGTTAAGGCAGTCACTGATGGTCACTGATTTAATCAGTTCTGCCTAATAGTGAAGCCTCTGTACAAACCTGAAGGAGGAGTTTGGAGACATTCCAGATAGCTGAAGGCATTGAGGCTCCCACAGGATGGCCTCCTGGCCTCTTTCCAGTACCTTGCCCTGTGCATCTTTTCATCTGTACTCTTTGTACTAACTTTTATAATAAACTGGCAAATGTGTTTCCATGAGTTCTTTTTTTGTTTTGTTTTGTTCTCTTTTTTGAGACAGTTTCATTCTTTTTTTGAGACAACGTTTCACTCTTGTCCTCCAGGCTGGAGTGCAATGGCACAGTTTTGGCTCACTGCAACCTCTTCCTCCTGGGTTCAAGTGATTCTCCTGCCTCAGCCTCCCGAGTAGCTGGAATTACAGGCATGTGCCACCATGCCCAGCTAATTTTTGTATTTTTAGTAGAAGATGGGGTTTCACTGCGTTGACCAGGCTGGTCTCAAACTCTTGACCTCAGGTGATCCACCCACCACGGCCTCCCAAAGTGCTGGGATTACAGGCATGAGCCACTGCGCCCAGCCTGTTTCCATGAGGTCTATGAGCTGCTGTAGCAAATTAATCAAATTCAAGGAGGGGATCATGGGAACGCTGATTTTTTTTTTCCCTTTTTTTTTTTTTGAGACGGAGTCTCTTGCTCTGTTGCCAGGCTCCAGGCGCCAGGCTGGAGTGCAGTGGTGCGACCTCAGCTCACTGCAACCTCCGCTTCCCAGGTTCAAGCAATTCTTCTGCCTCAGCCTTCTGAGTAGCTGGGACTACAGGCACATGCCACAACATCCAGCTAATTTTTGTTTTGGTATTTTTAGTAGAGATGGGGTTTCACCATGTTGGCCAGGATGGTCTCGACCTCTTGACCTTGTGATCCGCCTGCCTCAGCCTCCCAAAGTGCTGGGATTACAGACATGAGCCACTGTGCCCGGCCAATTTTTTTTTTTTCTTGTTTGAGACGGAGTTTCACTTTTGTTGCCAGGGCTGGAGTGCAATGGTGCGATCTCAGCTCACCACAACCTCTGCCTCCGAGGTTCAAGTGACTCTCCTGCCTCAGCCTCCCAAGTAGCTGGGATTACAGGCACGTGCCACTATTTCCAGCTAATATTTTATATTTTTAATAGAGATGGGTTTTCACCATGTTGGCCGAGCTGGTCTTGAACTCTTGACCTCAGGTGATCCACCCACCTTGGCCTCCCAAAGTGATGGGATAACAGTTGTGAGCCATGGCACGTGGCTGGGAACACTGATTTGTAACCAGTTGGTGAGAAGCATAGCTAAAACAACCTGGGGCTTAGGACTGGCATCAGAATTGGGGGCAGCCTTGTGAGACTGAACCCTAAACCTGTGATATGTTATCTCTAGGTAGATGGTGTTGGGATTGAATTTGGGGATACCCAGCTGTGTTGGGTATTTGCTTGCTTGGTTGTTGGTAGAGAGAAAGCCTCACACACTTCTTGGTGACTACAAGTTACAGAAGTATTTTGTGTTGTGAGAGTTTAGTAGGAAAGATTTGTTTTTTCTGCCACAGTTTGGATGTGGGAAGTGAAGAAAAAGATAGGAGTAGAGGATGATGTCTAGGTTTTTGGCTTACGTTATGGGAAAAGTGGGAGAGCAATAGGTTGGGTGAGGAAAATCAAGAATTCTTTTCTCCTCTGGTTTCCCTGGCCTTCCATTCAAAGGCCATGAAATGTCTACAGTTAGGTAGGGTGATTGGCTCCTGCATTCCTTAATTGCAATCCTCACATTCAAGAGCTTACCCCCTCAAGGATCTGGTGGGCCTACTTCTTTCAGAAGAAGGAAGGGTGACATACAGTAAAAAATATCTTGGCTGCCTTTCCTACTGAGTTTGAGTCCCACTTCTGCCATTTCTTTCTTTTATGACTTTGAGCAAGTCACTACTTTCCAAGCTGCAATTCCTCATCTGTTGGATGTGAGAACTTCCTGGTAGGATTGTTTTGACCATTAACTGAGCGTTTACTTTGTGCTGTGCCTTGTTCCAAGTGTATTATGGATATTCACTAGTTTCATCCTCATAAAAAATGGATGAGGTGTAGGTACTATTCCTTTCACTCTCTGACAGATAAGGAAACTGAGGTATAGAAGGTTATTAAGTAAGTTGCCAACAGTCATAAGCCAGTAAATGAAGGAGCTGTATTTGAATGCTGGCAGGCTCCAGAATCCTGGGCCTGGGTTCTGAGCTACTAAGTGCTTCTCCCTTTAAAGTGTGAAAAGCGCCTGGCCCATCATGGGCTCTCAAGTGTTTGTTCTGACGTCACCTCAGTTGTCCGACCTTCCTCCTTTACCCTGAAGAGCTGAAACATGCAGATCCTGAGCTTGCCCACAATCTAGGGTCTGGGTCTTCTGTTCTTTCACTGGGTTCCCTTGCCTGTGTCTCTGTTCCTCTCTAGAATCTTCATGGCAAAAGGCAGGACTTGTGTGTGTTGTACCTGACCTGTGGCACTCTCTCTAGGTGGACATCTTCAATAAGGAGCTCCTGCTAATCCCCATCCACCTGGAGGTGCATTGGTCCCTCATTTCTGTTGATGTGAGGCGACGCACCATTACATATTTTGACTCGCAGCGTACCCTAAACCGCCGCTGCCCTAAGGTTTGAGGGGTAGGAGGGAGATGGACAAAATGCAGGGGGGGTGGGTACAGTGGCAAGGCATTGCAGGAAGAAGGGTGGGCTTTGGTTCTCTGAGGGGCAACCTAGGCATGGTGCCTGGCACCATTGTACCCACCAAACTGAGTTCAATTGGGGAACTTGAGGCATCACTTTCTCTTTTTCCCATTCACATAGCATATTGCCAAGTATCTACAGGCAGAGGCGGTAAAGAAAGACCGACTGGATTTCCATCAGGGCTGGAAAGGTTACTTCAAAATGGTGAGTTTCCTGATGGAGGGGTACGGTTGGAGGGGATAGTGGTAGAGGGCAGATACTGAGTCCCAGCCCTGGGAGTCTCCATGTGAAGGGTCTGCTTTCCTTCTCTTTTCTAGAATGTGGCCAGGCAGAATAATGACAGTGACTGTGGCGCTTTTGTGCTGCAGGTAAGCAGATGGTGCCACCTTCTCTAGCTGTGAAAGTGGGGTTAAAGGGTTGGGAGGCTGTTTCGCATCCCCTCATTTGACTCACAGCCAGTTGTGGAGCAGGAAGTAATCTGTTTTAGAACACCAGAACCCTAGCTTCACTGGTCCTCTTCTGAGCTTCTCCATCCCACATTGGGCCTGGGTCTCTGGCTTTGACAGAGTTGCCTGCTAACCTCCATCTCAGTGTATTTTCTCTGTCTAAAACATTCTATCATGTACCAAGTAAGAACACTAGCTTTTAGAGTCAGGCTGTTTTTGAACCATTGGCTATGGGACCCTGGCTCCCTTTGTATGTGAACGGGATGTTCTCTGAAAGGTGGAGACACATGTCATATGAAATGAAGAGCATGGGTCCTGACATGGGGTGGGGGTTTCTCACGGCCTGCTTTGTTAACACCCAGTACTGCAAGCACCTGGCCCTGTCCCAGCCATTCAGCTTCACCCAGCAGGACATGCCCAAACTTCGTCGGCAGATCTACAAGGAGCTGTGTCACTGCAAACTCACTGTGTGAGCCTCGTACCCCAGGCCCCAAGCCCGTTAATGGGCAGGGGGACGTGGGAGTCCCTTCCCAAGAAACTCCAGTCCCTTTCCTCTCTTGCCTCGTCCCCCTCAGTTCCCTTTGGTTTTTCATATTTAAATGTTTCGATTTCTGTATTTTTTTTCTTTGAGAGAATACTTGTTGATTTCTGATGGGCAGGGGGAACTACAGAAAAGCCCCTTTCTTCCTCTGTTTGTAGGGGAGTGTGGCCCTGTGGCCTGGGTGGGGCAGTCATCCTCCCCCCCTTCCCCGTGCAAGGAGCAGGAAATCAGTGCGGGGGGTGGTGGGCGGGCAAAGGGATCACTGCCTGCCAGATCTTCGAACTTTTTTTTATATATATATATATAAATGCCACGGTCCTGCTCTGGTCAATAAAGGATCCTTTGTTGATACTTAAGTGGTGGTCTTCCTTAAAGGGCCTCAAATTAGTGGAACACTATGCTTAGTTCCAGCCAGTGCTGTTAGCTAGAACCTATTTTGGCGCTTGAGATTAAAGAGGTCAGCTTTGCGTCCCTCGCTTGGGCAGTGCCAACATCATGTCTTTATCACTCAAACAAATCCCCCGATGGAAGCAGAGGGCAGAAAGAAGGGAAAGTAGGTAAGCCTCAAAAATAAGGGTGCCCTAGAGGGAAGCTGGGGAACTGGACACAAGGCACAGGGGAGGGGGAGCCAGCCAGGATTCATGACAGTAACCCAAAGCTCTTTACAGTTTTCTTCCATCCCTCCTCCACCCTCCAGCCAGGGGAATCCTCCCATCTCTAGGATATCACTCTTGATTCCTTCATCCCTGGTACACGTACACGTCCAGGCGGTGTAGAATCCCATCGTTGCTGCAGGGGAATACAAACATTTTGAGTTCAATGGAGACCTGGAGCCGAAGTAAAGGGAAGTGATCACCCCTGGAGCCCGGAAGCCCCTGGAGGCTGAGACCTCGCCCCCCTTGCGTGATAGGGTCTACTGGGCCACATGACTAAGGCACTGTCGCCTCCGCACGTGTGAGAGTGCAGGGCCCCAAGATGGCTGCCAGGCCTCGAGGCCTGACTCCTATATGTCACTTCCGTACCGGCGAGAAAGGCGGGCCCTCCAGCCAATAAGACTGCGGGGTGGGTCTTCACCTTGATAGGCGTCTGAGTTACCCAATGATGCCTGCGTGCCAGAGCCCCTAGGAACTAACGTCACGCCAAGTTGCTGAGCTCCGGCAGGCGGAGCCGGGGCGGAAAAGCCAATGTGATGGCCGGGGCGGGGTCGGGCGCTCTATAAGTTGTCGATAGGCGGGCACTCCGCCCTAGTTTCTAAGGATCATGTCTGCGAGTCAGGATTCCCGGTAAGAAAAGCATTTGCAAGAGATTGTGACTGCTTACCTTACCGACCCCTTCCAACGGGTCTGCCGGGGGGAGCTGAAAGGCACACCAGGGTTGCAGGGAAACCGAGCTGGGGGGGAAATCCGTCCTAGGGAAGCGAGGGGGACGATCCCACGGCCGACGCGGCCACTACAGTCGAGGCGGAGGGTAGGGACAGCCCGGCTAGTGTCAGGCGTGCGAGGTTTGTTACGAGGTCTCGGCTGGAGGCGGTGCCGTACGCGAAGTCCCGGCGTTGAGTGGCGAGACGGGGTCGCGACTTGGCGTGGGAAAGGAAGGTGGGGGCGGCCCCCACTGTGTGTGGCCCAGAGCCCGCAGGTCCGGTTACCTCACTGTGCCGGGGGAGGGACGGTTCTCAGGGTTCCGGAGGATTCTGACGGTACCACTCGCCGGAGGCGGGGGTGCCTGAGTCCTCAAATCTAGTCGCTTCGTCGCGGCTAAAATAAGGGCCGGGGAGAAGAAACCGGCCGTTCAGTGTGCTGGTTTTCTTGACGGCCAGGACTGACCCTAACCCCGAGGAGCGGCCGCGTGAGGCACCAGGAGCCCACCCGGCGCCGGGCGGGCGGGTCCATTTTGCCGCACAAGCCGGGCTATTGGCAAACTGCGGATGGGCAGGTCCACTTTCCTTCGGGGGTGAGCGGCCTGAGGTATGGGAGGGCGATGCGACTTCGCGACGGGGGCGGACGGGATGTGGATTGTACCATGGAGGGGTGGGAGACGCCGCCGGGTGGTCGAGGGAGCGAGCACATGGTGGCCTGAGGCGTTCCCCTCCCCCAGTCTGCTTCGCTTCTAAGTGTTGTGCAATCTCCCCTCTTGCTAGCTCGGCTTGGGCTCATTGTGCGCGAGGCCGCCACCGCCCGCGGCCTCCCACATCCGGGCAACGTGAGGAGGGGTTCGGCTGGAGGGAGTGGGGGAGGGCGCGGGCGGGATGACGTGGGGGGAAGGGGATGTCCTACCCTTCGATCTGGGAGGTGAAGGGCGGGACTTCCGGCGCGCTGCTGCTGTGGTGGGAGGTGCACGCGCTTGGGCTTTAAGCGGCTGGGTCGGGCCCACGTGGACCTGGCGGCAAGCACCACCTCTGGGCACCGTGAGCACGGCGGCACCCCTGCCAGTCTGACTGTACAGAAGGGGGTTACCCCATCATGTCGGGGTGGCCTAGCCTGAGCTGCTGCCTGCATGGGGCAAAGACCTTATTAAGTTTTGTAGAAACCTTTCCTCTGGGTACCTTTTGGGAACTGGTGGGAGTTGGATCTGGGAGAGCACGTTGACAGCATGCTGGCCACTGCTGACAGAAGGAGCCCAGCTATCAGGATTTGAGTGCTTCAGTGGGGCAGGGAACAAAACTTCTGCTTTAAACCAACAGATCCAGAGACAATGGCCCTGATGGGATGGAGCCCGAAGGCGTCATCGAGGTGAGAATGGACAAATGGAGTTCTGTCCTCCCCCATTACAGTTCTCAGACTTAACAGCTGTATAGACTTCCAGTGGCCCTTTAGATTGATACCCAGACCATCTAGAAACAGCTGGTTTCCTTCAAGGGAAAAGGGGTTGTAAGCTCTGAGGCCTTGGTTAGTAGATACCCGATCCTGTTTGCTCCGAGACTATAGCACAGCCCCACCTTTTCGACCACTCAAGCTTTAATTTTTTTTTTTGCATCCCATAGAGTAACTGGAATGAGATTGTTGACAGCTTTGATGACATGAACCTCTCGGAGTCCCTTCTCCGTGGCATCTACGCCTATGGTTTTGAGAAGCCTTCTGCCATCCAGCAGCGAGCCATTCTACCTTGTATCAAGGGTGAGATCTCTCAGTCCCTGAAGACATTTTGGACTGTCCCTGACCTGGGTAGAGTGGCATCTGGTTGGTGATGCGCATCTCATATCAGCCAGGGACAAAGCAACCCCTTGTTCATCCCAGCTTGGCTTTTGATCTGTGCCTATGCCTGGTTCATGCCTTGGACACATAGGTTTCCTTAAAAGAGATGGTATTGTAGCCACCTTGTACTTGCTTGTATAGTCGTACTTCTAGTCCAGGTTGGTGTGCAATACTAGATGAGTTAACAACCCATCCTTGTTTCTGATCTGGTTCCCGTTGTGTAACTATTGATTGGGGTAAGGTAGCTTGTGAAGCACAAAATCATTGGTTCACTCGTTAACCTATGGTTTGAATATTCCAAAGTATATCCTTTTCACCACGTTTAACTCCTAATTTATTTGTTTAGGTTATGACGTGATTGCTCAAGCCCAATCTGGGACTGGGAAAACGGCCACATTTGCCATATCGATTCTGCAGCAGATTGAGTTAGATCTAAAGGCCACCCAGGCCTTGGTCCTAGCGCCCACTCGAGAATTGGCTCAGCAGGTAAGAGTGGTTTTTCCCTCCGAAAGGGCTGATTTAGGGATGATGGGCATAATCCAAGGACCAGAGAGTTTAGTTCTGATCACTAGTTTGGGAGGAAGAGATGGGCGCCCTAATGCTCTTGATCTGCTGGCTTAATTAGAAGCTGTTTCCTGCCCAAACAAAACCGTCACTTCCTCCACCTATTTTCTGAGTCAAATGGAAAGGTTCTTGGGTGGAGCCTTGCTGGCTGGGCAAGTTTGGTGGCTGTTTTCTGAATAAGCACCTACACAGTGGGCTGAGACACACCTCATTGGTGGTGGTGCTCTTACGCAGAGCAGATGGACAGTCTTTTTTCACCCTGGCTTTAATGGGCAGAGCTGTTTTGTCTCTGGGGCACATACAATTCTAACGCTGGACTCTTCTTCCTGGGTCATGCCGAGACAGTAGTCTCAAATAGAGCACTTATTGAGGCTCAGGGCATTAAACGTTCTGTGGCAGATGCAGTGACTATTCTGGGTGTGAATAATGTAAAGTTACAGCAGAGCTCTTGTTCTAAGGCATTTGGGACTCAGTTTTTCTGAGTGAATATGCCTTGTAGCTTGCGTCCTATGGCAGGAGTGCAATAGAACATGGATGTGCTCAACTGTTTTATAAAACCGGTTGCTGGCTGGGCACGGTGTCTCACTCCTATAATCCAAACACTTTGGGAGGCTGAGGCAGGCAGATCACTTGAGGTCAGGAGTTAGACCAGCCTGGCCAACATAGTGAAACACCATCTCTACTAAAAAAATATAAAAATTGGCCAGGCATGGTGATGTTGGCAGGCAGTGGTTATCCCAGCTACTTGGGAGGCTGAAGCAGGAGAATCACTTGAAGCTGGGAGGCAGAGATTGCAGTGAGCCAAGGTTGTGTGCCGTTGCACTCCAAATTGCACACCAACCTGGATGACGAGCAAAACTGTTAGTCAAATTAGCTTTCAGAAAGTTAAGGGTTCTGAATGTCTAGAATAAGACACTGAATTATCTGAGCGGCTTTATTGTGACTCACTGTATACTCAGGAACCAGACTGAGTTGAAATCCTGTCTTGCCACCTATTGACAGCACGATCTTAAGGATTTTAACCTCTGCCAGTTTCTCAGCTGAATGTGAGTTTACTAATAGTGCACACCCCCCAGGGTGGTTGGTTAGGAATAAGTATGTGAAAAACATTGAATGGTGGTGCCTGGCACAGTTGGAGCTAATATATGAGCACCTGTTTTTCTCCGGGCTCAGATACAGAAGGTGGTTATGGCACTAGGAGACTACATGGGTGCCTCCTGTCACGCCTGTATTGGGGGCACCAATGTTCGTGCTGAGGTGCAGAAACTGCAGATGGAAGCTCCCCATATCATCGTGGGAACCCCTGGCCGTGTGTTCGATATGCTTAACCGGAGGTACCTGTGTAAGTAATTGAGTTCAACAGTCCCCTAGGTCACTTCCTCTCATGCATGCTTTCCGCGTCTTTCAGCTTAAGCCAAAGTCATTCCTGAGGATGCTCATTTCCCTTATGGGAAGAGTTGCTCTGTGATGAGGCCCATGCGTGTCATCTGAGTCTGGCTTTCCTGGCAGTGCAGCCCAGGCAGTGTTCTACTTGCCAGGGCTGATGTCTGGCCAGGCAGGAAAGTCCTCGGCAAAGGATCAGTCTTTGTATTCTGAGAGCAGACTACTTGGTCCCTCTGTTATCAGGAAAGTTGGGTACATATATCACACATTTACCTAATTATATGCTGTATATTGGCTTTTTTTATTCTCTAGCTCCCAAATACATCAAAATGTTTGTACTGGACGAAGCTGATGAAATGTTAAGCCGTGGATTCAAGGACCAGATCTATGACATCTTCCAAAAGCTCAACAGCAACACCCAGGTGAGGGCAGTCTTGCTTGAATAGCTGAAAAAAAAAAATAGTTAAGGACAGAGTTTGGCTCTTGTTGGCCAGGCTGGAGTGCTGTGGTAGCTCTGCCCAGCTGATTTTTTGTATTTTTAGTAGAGAGGGTTTCACCATGTTGGTCAGGCTGATCTCAGACTTCTGACTGCTCAGGTATTTGCCCGCCTTGGCCTCCTAAAGTGCTAGGCTTACAGGCATGAACCGCCACACCCAGCAGTGATTATTTTCTAGAAGAAAAATAGCAAGTGCTAGAAGAACCAAATTTTGGATTGCTATCTTGACTTTTTTTTTTTTTTTTTTTGGCACCCACTTCACTTTTTTTTTTTTTGAGACAGAGTTTTGCTCTTTTTACCCAGGCTGGAGTGCAATGGCGCAATCTTGGCTTGCTGCAACCTCCGCCTCCTGGGTTCAGGCAATTCTGCCTCAGCCTCCCGAGTAGCTGGGATTATAGGCATGCACCACCGTGCCCAGCTAATTTTTTGTATTTTTAGTAGAGACGGGGTTTCACCATGTTGACCAGGATGGGGTCGATTTCTTGACCTCGTGATCCACCTGCCTCGGGCCTCCCAAAGTGCTGGGATTACAAGGTGGCTTGAGCCACCTCGCTCGTCCACCCACTTCAGTTTTAGGTGTGACTAGGGAAGGGAGCAGGCGTCAGAAAGGACACCTAAGAAAGGCTCTAAGGCTGGCCTTTTTCTCCATTAGGTAGTTTTGCTGTCAGCTACAATGCCTTCTGACGTGCTTGAGGTGACCAAGAAGTTCATGAGGGACCCCATTCGGATTCTTGTCAAGAAGGAAGAGTTGACCTTGGAGGGTATCCGCCAATTCTACATCAATGTGGAACGAGAGGTGGGGCCCAGTGCAGGAGGCGGGTCTGGTAGTGAGTTGTTGGGTATAGCCCCTGACTGATTTTGTCCCCACACCTCCAGGAATGGAAGCTGGACACACTGTGTGACTTGTATGAAACCCTGACCATCACCCAGGCAGTCATCTTCATCAACACCCGAAGGAAGGTGGACTGGCTCACTGAGAAGATGCATGCTCGAGATTTCACTGTCTCTGCCATGGTGTGTTTGCTTGTTGCCAGCCCTTTGTGGGTCTGCCCATCAGAAGTGTCCTCCTCCAAGCCAGTGTTCCCAAAACCCATGTACCTGCCTGGCCTGTTAGATGCTTATTTTCTCTTCTAGCATGGAGATATGGACCAAAAGGAACGAGATGTAATCATGAGGGAATTTCGTTCTGGCTCTAGCAGAGTTTTGATTACCACAGACCTACTGGTGAGTAGAGGGAATTTACTGGAAAGGCAAAAGGGAGGATCCAAGGTGATTCCCTCTCCAAGGGGACTTCCAGTGCCCCTCTCAGGAAAGTAGCAACTTGGAATAGAATCTGGCATGCCTAAGGTCTTTGGGGGAACAGGGATGCTTATTTCCTCTGCTTTCCTTGGCTGCCTACATGGATATCCATGTGTCATCCCTTTGGGATAGGTTCTCATGCACATGCTGAAGAGTTGTCTCTCTTGATGTAGGCCAGAGGCATTGATGTGCAGCAGGTTTCTTTAGTCATCAACTATGACCTTCCCACCAACAGGGAAAACTATATCCACAGGTAAGTGTACATCTGGAACACTGCCCCACCCCCCTCATGCCTGGCCTTCACTGGACTAAAGCTCCTCATGTTCCTCATCCCCTTCCCTTGTTTTCCAGAATCGGTCGAGGTGGACGGTTTGGCCGTAAGGGTGTGGCTATTAACATGGTGACAGAAGAAGACAAGCGGACTCTTCGAGACATAGAGACCTTCTACAACACCTCCATTGAGGAAATGCCCCTCAATGTTGCTGACCTCATCTGAGGGGCTGTCCTGCCACCTAACCCCAACCAGAGTTCAGTCTTCGGGGGGGCTGAGGAGTAGCAGGCGGGGGGAGGGAAGGGAGCCAAGGGATGGACATCTTGTCATTTTTTTCTTTGAATAAATGTCACTTTTTGAGGCAAAAGAAGGAACCGTGAACATTTTAGACACCCTTTTCTTTGGGGTAGGCTCTTGCCCCAGGCGCCGGCTCTTCTCCCAAAAAACACTAATCCATTTCCCTAACCTAGTAACCTCCAGATCCCAGAGGCTCTCCTCACCTCAGCTGAGCTCCTTTGAAAGTGATTCAAGGGACTGTGTCATTCAGCCTCATTTGCTGGACCAAATCTGGAGGAAGAACCCTGAAAACCCCTCAGCAAGATTGCCCAGGGGATTGTCCCCAGGTGGGGGGAAGCAGGGGAGAGAAAATGGTAGCCATTTTTACATTGTTTTGTATAGTATTTATTGATTCAGGAAACAAACAAAATTCTGAATAAAATGACTTGGAAACTGCCTGTTTGGGCTTCTCATTTCTTACCTCCCCTACCCCCTTCCACCTGCTATTGGGTGCATCTCCCTCCCCCCTTTACTAGCAGATTGTTGCTTTTCTTGCCACCATCTGAGCATTCCCAAACGCTGAACAACTGTTCTTAGCACTGAGAATGGTGATGGCAGGAGTGCTGCCCCTCTGTAAAGGGCTGGGTGTGAACATCACAAGCCCCTCATGTGCCTCAGTCAAAAGGAAGAACTAGATGGGCCACCCATAAGGTCAAGGAGAAAGGGGAGTGGAAACACTGACTTCCCCACTGAGGGAGGGGCTGTTACCTTAGACGTCTGCCCCAACGGCCAAGCAAGTTTTGCTGAGAGGAATGGGTCCCTGCAGGTCAACAGCCTCAGGGTTTTGTATCCACGTGACACTGTTGACTTTGCCCTGATTGCTCCCGCTTAAGTGGGGGCCAACAGTCCCCTAACAATTTCGAAAACTAATGACTAAGAGATGGGTGGCTGGAGCTGAGGTCCCTGAGTCAGGCTGTGGGTGGGATCATCTCCTGTATGGGAAGTGAGACTTCTCATTTCCTCCTTTCCAAGAGAGGGCTGAGCCAGTAGGGTTGAGCAACTGGTACTGACAGCCGAGCTGGACTTTGGGTGAGGCAGTTCAGCCATGAGGCTGGCTGTGCTTTTGTTGGGGGCCTTGCTGGGGCTACTGGCAGGTAAGGAGGAAGACAGCTGAGGGGAGGGGGCCCCTGGGAGGGAGTTGGCCCCTGGGTTGCTAACCATCTCTCTGCCAAAAGCCCAGGGGACAGGGAATGACTGTCCTCACAAAAAATCAGCCACTCTGCTGCCGTCCTTCACGGTGACACCCACGGCTACAGAAAGCACTGGAACAAGCCACAGGACTACCAAGAGCCACAAAACTACCACTCACAGGGCAACCACCATAGGCACCACCAGCCATGGACCCATGACTGCCACTCACAACCCCACCACCAGCCACGGAAACGTCACAGTTCATCCAACAAGCAACAGCACTGCCACTCACAGTCCTGCCACCACCAGTCATGGAAATGCCACGGTTCATCCGAGCAACAGCACTACCACCAGCCCAGGATTCACCAGTTCTACCCATCCAGGACCACCTCCACCCTCTCCAAGTCCTAGTCCAGCCTCCAGGGAGACCATTGGAGACTACATGTGGACTAATGGCTCGCAGCCCTGTGTCCACCTCCAAGCCCAGATTCAGATTCGAGTCATGTACACAACCCAGGGTGGAGGAGAGGTAAAGCGAAAACTGGGGAAGAGGAGAGGGAGGCAGGACTGGCTATGGGCTCAGAGGGAAGAAGAAAGGGGGATGGGAAAGGGAACCTTGGGTGACATTGCATGCAGTCTTATGACCTGATCTTTAACTTCCACAGGCCTGGGGCATCTCTGTACTGAACCCCAATAAAACCAAAGCTGAGGGGAGCTGTGAGGATGCCCATCCCCACTTGCTTCTCTCATTCCCCTATGGACAGCTCAGCTTTGGATTCATGCAGGTATAGCCCAGGACCTCAGTCTCAGCCCTCACTCAGTCTCCCAGCACCCCACCCCTCCCAATCCCATGCCCTACTCCTTTCTCTGTGGAGATGGATGCCACTTGGCTCTGCTGCCCTAAGCCTTCCTGTTCCCCCCACAGGACCTCCAGCAGAGGGCTGTCTACCTGAGCTATATGGCAATGGAGTACAATGTGACCTTCCCCCAGGCAGCACGTGAGTAACCTTCTTCCCTTTCTCATTGCTACCACTAGACACCAGGATTCCTGAAAAGACTAAGCTGGGGTCCGGGAGGTGGATAGGATCTGACCCCTCCTCACTCCTGCAGAATGGACATTCTCGGCTCAGAATGCATCCCTTCGAGATCTCCAAGCACCTCTGGGTCAGAGCTTCAGTTGCAGAAACTCAAGCATCATTCTTTCACCAGCTGTTCACCTTGACCTGCTCTCCCTGAGGGTCCAGGCTGCTCAGCTGCCCCATACAGGGGTCTTTGGGCCAAGTAAGACCCACGACCTACTCCTTTCCTCCTAGAATCCTCCCACAGGCCCATAAGCTATTTGTCTTTCTTCTTAACCCTTCCAAATCACCTTGCTCTCCCTGGCTTGCAATGTCTATAGGGCAGCTGTCCTCCCATCCTCTGCAAGACTCTGCCAGTTTCCCCGTTATCACTGCTCTGAGTCACTGCAGTGAGCTCCTCACCAATCTCTTACTCCCCAGTATCCCCCATGCCCTCCCCCACCCTGATGTCAACCACCACGTCACTGCAGTGGCTACCTACGCTATCCTTCTGCCAGGTTTCTCCTGCCCCAGTGACCGGTCCATCTTGCTGCCTCTCATCATCGGCCTGATCCTTCTTGGCCTCCTCGCCCTGGTGCTTATTGCCTTCTGCATTGTCCGGAGACGCCCATCTGCCTACCAGCCCCTCTGAGCATTTGCTCCAAACCCCAGGGTACTAGGGGGACTGGGATGAGGTGTGGGGGGGGTAACCCTCATTTTCTTGACATGCAACTGGCTCAAAGACAAAGTTATTTTCCTTCCCTGTCTTTCTTGAAGAACAAAAATAGAGTTGGGTACAATAGCTCACGCCTATAATCTCAGCACTTTTGGAAGCTGAGGCATGCAGGTCACTTGAGGAGTTTGAGACCAGCCTGGCCAACATGGTGAAACCCCATCTCTACTAAAATACAAAAGAACTAGCTGGGCATGGTGGTGCACGCCTGTAGTCTCAGCTACTAGGGAGGCTGAGGCAGGTGAATCGCTTAAACCTAGGAGGCAGAGGTTGCAGTGAGTGAGCCAAGATTGTGCCACTGCACTCCAGCCTGGGTGACAGAGTGAGACTCTGTCTCAAAAGGAGGAAAAAAAAAAAAAAAAAAGGACCAAAAATAGAGATAATTGAGTCAGGAGGAAGGAGGGAGTGAATTTTAGTAAACATGACAAACTGCCCCCGCAGCAGGAGACCAGCAAAACTTATGCAAATCTTTGACTTGGGTTTTCTTTGTCCTGCCAGGATTAAAAGCCATGAGTTTCTTGTCACATGCCTTTCTGTGCCTTCCATGGTTGGGTCTCAGGGAGTCGGAACTAGCTGCTAAGGGATGAAAATCTCATGGGTTCTGGCCCGCGCGGTGGCTCACGCCTATAATCCCAGCACTTTGGGAGGCCGAGGCGGGTGGATCACGAGGTCAAGAGATCGACACCATCCTGGTCAACGAGGTGAAACCCCCGTCTCTACTAAAAATACAAAAATTAGCTGGGCATGATGGTGCGCGCCTGTAGTCCAAGATACTCGGGAGGCTGAGGCAGAACTGTTTGAATCCAGAAGGCGGAGGTTGCGGTGAGCCGAGATCGTGCCATTGCACTCCAGTCTGGGTAACAACAGCGAAACTCCGTCTCAAAAAAAAAAAAAGAAAATCTCATGGGTTCATCCCCCAAAGCCTGCACAGCTGGTGTTGGGTCTGCCGTGCCCTCTTCGTTCCTCCTCTTGGGGCCACTGGCTGCTCCAGTTCCCCATCCCTGGCAAGCCGGTAGAGCCACCCATCCTCGCAGCCTTTTCCTGACCCTCGTACATTTTCAAATGCAGCAGACAGCCAAAACGATGTAGCCGAGGCTGTGTAATTTCATTTCCAAAGGCAGCGCCAGTGGCTCCTGAGCAGTAAGAATATCCTATCCTGTCCAACTGGGGCCAGGGCCGGCAGAAAAGCCCGATTAAACCCTCGCTCCACCTGGGATGCTCCTAGCCCACCTGCAAGGGGTTGAATCAAGCAGGAGCAGTGGGTACTCTGACCTCCACTGGGGACTCCTGGAAACAGCATCCCCCCCACACAGGGCCACTCGCCAAGTCTAACTTCACGATCCCAGTACTTGAGACGAGGAGGAATGTCACTCTCGGGACAGCCAAGGTCCAGATTCTAGAAAGGGGCTCCCAGATGGCCACAGCCTACACCACCAGTAAGTGCCAGTCCAACCCATTACAGTAGGCTGTGGCACAATCGCTGGGAGCCAGGATGAGCAGCACCCCCCAGCCGCAGGAGTCCCAGGAGGCTACTAGCCTCCAAGATCCAGAGACTGCTCCACAAGGGCAGCCCTCACCTGGCAGGGCCCCAGCAGTCCCACCTCTGCTTGTAGACATCCCGTGTGACCTTGCATTCTGTGGAGCAGGGGCCACCAAAGGGCTGCTCCACGGCGGGATGGCGCACAGGTGGGCACCCTGGGTTGGCGTCCCGGCGGTGGGTAACGAAGCACAAGGCTCCCACCAGGTAGTCCAAGGTGCCCTTTCCCAAGCAGAACTGTAGGGCCCTTTCGGCCTCGCGGAAGTCTCTGCCCAGCACGTGGAGCGCCCTGCGGGGAAGACGAGAACCGAAGGGCTGCCACACCAGGCCTCGGCTTCCCAGAGACAGCCAGCTCTGCGGTCCAAGGGGTGATTCAGGGGCTGCGCTTCCCCGGCGTGGACTTGCCTCCCCTACCTCCTCCTCTGCTTCACGGCGGTAGGCCCGGCAATTGCCGGCTCACCGACGCACCGAGGCCTGGGCCAATCGGAGGCGAGACACGCACGGGGGCCCTGCAAGCAACCCGGCGCCTAAGGAGGCCTGCCAGGTGCAGATGCTTCTGCTCCCGCCGGAGCCCTTCCCTCTAGAGACGCCGGGAAAACAGGAATTAGTAGCCCCCACCCAACGCCGCCTCGGAGACTCGGGCTCTTTCACTCTCAACCTCGAATACAAAGTGTGCTAGAAGACAAGATGGCGACTAGCAGGAGGAGCGGAGGAAGGCAGGGGTGTAAATCTGGCTTCCAAACTGGAAGCGACAACAAAGACGTGGGAGGTTTAACTGCGCAGGCGTGCAGCTTCCGCAAGCTTTAGAATTCCACCGGGGGGCGCGTCCAAAACGTGGTCCCTGACTGAGACTTATTTTACGTTACTAGAGCGGTGATGGGTGGCGTCAGAAAAAGCAGGGAGCAGCGGACGGGTCATCTTCGCCGCGGGAAAAGGAGGAGGCGGAGTGTCCGTGGCGCGCACGCGCAACGATAGTCAATGGCGGTCTGGAGAGACTGGCGGAAGCCAGCTTTGCAATATGGCGGCTGAGGCAGACGGAGCGCTTAAACGGCTGCTGGTGCCGATTCTTTTACCTGAGAAATGCTACGACCAACTTTTCGTTCAGTGGGACTTGCTTCACGGTGAGTTTTATTCAGCATCCGATCCAAGTCCTGCTAGAGTGACCGTGGACCCTTCTTAGTCCAAGGCTTGACCAGCGACTGACGGCAATTACTGCCGCCACGCCGAGCTGGACGGAAGTCACTTCTGAGAGGGGCGGAAGTGTCTCGGGCTCCTTAGAGGGAGGACGCCATATTTGTGCTAGTGGGGAAGTCGCCGGGTGGAATTACTTCTTTGTGGAGTTTGTGATTTAGCGACAGTGAAAGACGAAAAGACTCAACTTCTATAAAACAAAATAAAAATCAAGTCAAATCGTGCCAACCTTTATTAGATTGCTAGGCGAATTAAACTTAATTCAAAGCCCCTGATGAATCGGGTCTTCAATGCACCCCTAAAGGCTCCACCACCCTGATTGCTTTCTTTCCAGCGTTCTCATAGTCTGATTTCAGAATACTTTGCCTTCCTTCTTTTGTATTTCTTTTTTTTGGGGGGGGGGACAAGAGTCTCACTCTGTTGCCCCGGCTGTACTGCAGTGGCGCTATCTAGGTTTACCACAACTTCTTCCTCCCGGGTTCAGGTGATTCTCTTGCCTCAGCCTCCTCAGTGGCTGGGATTACAGGCATGCGCCATCATGGCCCGCTAATTTTGTACTTTTAATAGAGACGGGGTTTCTCCATGTTGGTCAGGGTGGTCTCGAACTCCCAACCTCAGGTGACTGCCCGTCTCCGGCCTCCCAAAGGGCTGGGATTACCCGGGTGAGCCACCGCGCCCGGCCTTTCCTTCCTTATTCTGATTGTGAGACAGCTTCGAAATAAGGCCCACCGTCAGACCATTTGGGAAGCGTCAGTATGCCCCCGTCAGTTCATGCTACCTGTCTTAAGTTCGTGGAGCACTTTGTTTTAGCCGCATTTATGACCCGTGAGAGTCTGACTCCCATTGGACCAAGCTCTTTGAGGGGCAGGCTTCAAGGCTAGAGAAGTTATGGATGGCCAGGGCATAAAAGCTACTAGCCCTAGAAGGGTAAGGTTTAGTCCCTGAGTAGGGGCCAGGGACAGAGTGTTCAAGAAAGAGTCGTATGGGCCAGGTGGGGTGGCTCATGCCTGTCATCTCAGCACTTTGGGAGCTGGAGGCGGGTTGATCACCTGAGGTCAGGAGTACCAGACGAGCCTGGCCAACATGGTGAAACCCTGTTTCTAGTAAAAATACAAAACATTAGCTAGGCATGGTAGCGGGCACCTGTAATCCCAGCTACGCAGGAGGCTGAGGCAGGAGAATCACTTGAACCCAGGAGCAGAGGTTGCAGTGAGTGGAGATTGCCGCACCACTGCACTCCAGCCTGGGCAAAAGTGAGACTTTGTCTCAAAATTAAAAAAAAAAAAAAAAAAGCCCTCCCTCTCTCCTGCCCTCCATCGCTCCTTCCCCCTTGCAAAATATAAAAAATAAATGATACGAAGACCTGTCTTTGGTGAAAGAAGACATGTGAAATGAATGGGCCACCCATTGGCCCAGAGAAAGTTCTCAGCCTTTTTTTTTTTTTTTTTTGAGATGGAGTTTCACTCTTGTTGCCCAGGCTGGTGTGCAATGGCACAATCTCCGCCCACTGCAACCTATCCCAGGTTCAAGGGATTCTCCTGCCTCAGCTTCCCGAGTAACTGGGATTACAGGCATGTGTCACCACGCCTGGCTAATACTTGTATTTTTAGTAGAGACAGGGTTTTTCCATGTTGATCAGGCTGGTCTTGAACTCCCGACCTCAGGTGATCCGCCCACCTCAACCTCCCAAAGTGCTGGGATTACAGGCGTGAGCCACCACACCCGGTGTGTTTCTTACTTTTATACAGGGAAGCAATGGAGATTGTGGAGATCAAGCCAAGTCTGGATGTTAACTTATAGGGAATATAAGATTGGATGTGGGGTGGGTAGGCATTGGAGAAAAGCTATTTTGGAAAGTAATAGTCCGGGGTCAGGCACAGTGGCTCAAGCCTGTAATCCCAGCACTTTGAGAGGCTGAGGTGGGTGGATCACCTGAGGTCAGGAGTTCAAGACCAGCCTGGCCAACATGGTAAAATTCCATCTCTACTAAAAACACAAAAATTAGCTGGGCATGGTGGTCCGAGCCTGTAATCCCAGCTACTTGGGAGGCTGAGACAAGGGAGTTGCTTGAACCCGAGAGGCAGAGGCTGCAGTGGGCTGAGATTGGGCCACTACACTCCAGCCTGGGGTACAGAGCAAGATGTCTCAAAAAAAAAAAAAAAAAATGAGGTGGTTTGGAGCAGGAAGGACTAGGCCTTTTTCCCTGCCCTCCGCCCCTCCTCCCCCAAGACAATGTAAGACCATGGTGTGGGTGAGGGGGGTTGGGGACAGCCCACGGGAGTACTTCAAGCCTTGCTCTCAGTTTCCCACTCTACTGTCTGCTTTACCTCTTTTCTCAGTTCCCTGCCTCAAGATTCTCCTCAGCAAAGGCCTGGGGCTGGGCATTGTGGCTGGGTCACTTCTAGGTATGTATCTTATTCCTGCTGTTTGGTTGGGGTTGGAGGTGCTAAGAGGCCGTCTACTGTGTGGGTGTTGCTCTGTAGCTGTTGTGTTGCATCCCAAAGAACAGAGCCTCCCCAGTCCTACTCTTCTCATCTTTTCCCTAGTAAAGCTGCCGCAGGTGTTTAAAATCCTGGGAGCCAAGAGTGCCGAAGGGTTGAGCCTGCAGTCCATAATGCTTGATCTAGTGGCATTGACTGGGACCATGGTTTACAGCATCACTAACAACTTCCCATTCAGGTGAGGGGCCACCCACCCTCCCTGAGGGTAATACCACAACCCTAATGGGGATTCAGATGAAGGAGGTTACAGGGAAGGAAAGTGGCTGGGTGAGGTGGCTCACGCCTGTAATTCCAGCACTTTGGGAGGCCAAGGTGGGTGGATCACCTGGGGTTGAGTTTGAAACCAGCCTGGCCAACATGGTGAAACCCCATCTCTACTAAAAAAAAAAAATACAAAAATTAGCTAGGCATGGTAGTGCGCACCTGTAGTCCCAGCTACTCGGGAGGCTGAGGCAGGAGAATTGCTTGAAACCAGGAGGCGGAGGTTGCGGTGAGTCAAGATCACGCCATTGCACTCCAACCTGGGTAACAAGAGTGAAACTCTGTCTCAAAAAAATATATATATATATTAGCCAGGTGTGAGGTGGGCACCTGTAATCCCAGCTACTTGGGAGGCTGAAGCAGGAGAATCACTTGAACCTGGGAGGCAGAGGTTGCAGTGAGCTGAGATCGTGCCACTGCACTCCAGCCTGGGCCACAAGAATGAAACATTAAAAAAAAAAAATGCAGGGGGAGAGGAAGTTTTAAGCCCTTTTAGAAACAGAATTTTCACCAGTGGAGGTGACCTTGAGAAGGGGTGATCATCCCAAGAATGGCCAAGATTCAGAATGAGCCACTCACATGTGGGGACTGTAGAGAAGCCTGAACAGAGCATCGTGTCCCTGGATGGGCTATGGAGGCTTTCCCTGCCTCTTTCTAGGCCCCTGTTTCTTCCTCCCAACTCTTGACTCTGCAGCTCTTGGGGTGAAGCCTTATTCCTGATGCTCCAGACGATCACCATCTGCTTCCTGGTCATGCACTACAGAGAACAGACTGTGAAAGGTGCTGGGGACTTACCCAAGAACAGGCTGCATGGTTCCTGGGCACTCTCGGACCTGGGAAAGCCAGATGATGTTGAGGTTGACAAGGACTCCTGTCTCCCCACTCCTAGGTGTCGCTTTCCTGGCTTGCTATGGCCTGGTCTTGCTGGTGCTTCTCACACCTCTGACGCCCTTGACTGTAGTCACCCTGCTCCAGGCCTCCAATGTGCCTGCTGTGGTGGTGGGAAGGGTGGGTACCAGGAGCAAGGGACAAGATGTTGTTGGGTGGACGGAGGGGGAGGGTCAAGGGGCAGACTGGAAGGTCAAAGTGTGGGGTGTTGGACTTGGGGCAGTGGGGAAATTAGTGATGGCAGTGTAGGAAGGGCTCAGATGACAGAGCCAAAGGTCTCAACTCCTCCCCTAGCTCCTCCAGGCAGCCACCAACTACCACAATGGGCACACAGGCCAGCTCTCAGCCATCACAGTCTTCCTATTGTTTGGGGGCTCCCTGGCCCGAATCTTCACTTCCATTCAGGTGAGTGCAACATCATCTTTCCAGAAGGCACTAAAACCTTATCGTCTTACTTCTCCCAGCTAAGGGCCAAAGCTGCCCCTGTCAGGAACCTTTGTCCATAAGGGAACCTTTCTTGAGTTATGCTGAAGGGTAACCCTGGCTCTGTCTCTTACGACCAGGAAACTGGAGACCCCCTGATGGCTGGAACCTTTGTGGTCTCCTCCCTCTGCAATGGCCTCATCGCTGCCCAGCTTCTCTTCTACTGGAATGCAAAGCCTCCCCACAAGCAGAAAAAGGCGCAGTAGAGCCAGCTGATAGTCATTCCGTTTCCACTCATTTACCCAACCTCAGGGTTCTCCCCATCTGAGCCAGCCTGCTGGTGTGACTTACTCATCCGCCATTCCTCTGCAGTGGCAGACTTCCTGAGCCAGTTTGCTTTTAGTGGAAACAAATGGTTGATAGATCCAGATCCTTAGAAAAGGAGAGGATAGGGGTAGCGTCTTCCAAGCCAAAGTTTTGACATTTGAGTGCTTTTCTAACATGTACTGTTAACTCAATCATTCAGCCAAGCCTCTTCCTCTAGCAGCAATTTCCCTGTTTAACCCTCTCCCTGGGCAAATGTTTTACCCTGGCCTCTAACCTCCCTACTTCCCTTCTGGCCCTACAAGAGAGCCTGGACAGCAGAGTGGAGGGAACTGGGGGGCTGTGGCTGGCTGCCTTCCTCCCTCACTCCCTCCCTCAGCCTGATTGGGACTGCCTCCGAGACCCCAGTGCTGGGGGTGGGGGAAGGTGGACAGAGAATGACTCAGGCAGGGCCCCAGGGTGGGGTGAGGAGGTTCCTGCTCTGGCAGGTCTAGGCGGAAGGGAGTGGAGATGGGGCTGGTTCCTGCTGCAGTGAGGGGAACAGATGGGACAATAAAGACTGGAGACGCAGTTGAATAATAGAAAACTGTGTTTAATACTACCAAAAATATAACTGTGTGCTGCTCTCCCTGGCTTCCATGGGAGGACTGCAGGCAGACCCTGAACTGTAGTCCAATACAGGAAAGGGTCGGCCGCCTGGGGTAGGGAATGCTGCTGGTTTAAAAAAGGAAGAGGAGGCCGATCCGGTGAGGTCTGCATCCATGAGGGTTAGAGGTGGGTTAGGGGCATGGGGGTACCAGAAAGGGGAGGGTTGTATGGAGTGGGAGAGGCAGGGGGCAGGTAGGGGACATAGTGGGGCAGCAGCTCCCCCTGGAGCCTAGGGTCACTCTGAGGGAGGGAGCACGGTGAGGGGGCCTCCAGTTTGCAGTGGGAAGAGCTGCAGAGAGAAACAAGAGGTTAGGGGGCACTTCCTGGATTGGAGGTGAGTCTGACCAGTTCTGGGCAGACAGGGGAGAGCTTGCCACCCACCCAGCCCTGGCTATGCAGCCTGCTGGGCGCAGCAGGCCTGGAAGCCAACCCAGCGATGGAGCCCTCGGCCCTGTTGGGGCACGCTTGGGCTTGCGTGCTGCAGGGCTGTTTCCTCTTGGGGCGTCAGGCCAGGAAGGGGCAGAATGGGCTTGGCCTCTCCTTACCCCGAGGGCTGGGAGAGGAAGTCGGGTCACACACAGGCCAGCAGTAGGGGGGAAATGGGGCATCTAACTAGGACACAATTGCATCCAGGGGTCTCTGTCACCTGACCCTGCAGGGCCACCACCTCCAGACTGAGGTAAATGCCCTCTGGGAGAACCCTGGCCCGCCCAACCCTACACTGGCCTCGGAGGTACTGGGGTCCGTGACCCCCACACCTTGGCCCGGAGTGGCCTCTGGGTAGGCTCCCGTCCTCCGGCGTCTGCCCCTACCCAGGCTCCACGAGAGGGGCGCAAGGGCCTCCGACTTCAGCTCGCTTCCCAGGCACTCACCCATAGCTGCCAGGCAAGTAGGCTGTCGAGTAGTTGGGGGGTTTGTACCCAAAGCCTCTGCTGGGTTGGGTGGTCGCATACCCTGGCCCCCAGAGTGGGCCGCCGCTGCCCAGGCTGCCTCTTCCCTGTCCGCAGCGGGACGGTCCGGCGCCCGCGCTCTTGGCCTTGCGCCGAGGCCGGTACTTGTAGTCGGGGTAGTCGCGCAGGTGCCGGGCGCGGAGCCGCTTAGCCTCCTCCACGAAGGGCCGCTTCTCCTCCTCACCCAGCAACTTCCACTGCGCGCCCAGGCGCTTGGAGATCTCGGAGTTGTGCATCTTTGGGTTCTGCTGCGCCATCTGGCGGCGCTGAGCGGAGCTCCACACCATGAACGCGTTCATCGGCCGCTTCACTTTCTCCAGGGGCAGCACCCCAGGGGCCGCGGGGCTCCCAGCACCCTCCCGCTCCTGGGGTCCAGAAGACGAGGAGGCAGCAGCCGTGGGAGCCGGAGGCTCCAGGCTCCAGGCCTGGTCCTGTGAGGAGCCCGGTAGCGCCATGGGTCGGGAGAAGCCTTAAGAGGGCGTCCTGAATGCCCTCCCCTCAACGTGAAGCGTTGATCCTGAAAATGGAAGGGTCTTCCCAGTCTGGAGTCGTTGCCAAAGGAACTTGGGTTTCTAAAAAGTATATTTCATCCCTAAAGCCCACCGCTTAAACTGGAGCCTTTGCTTCCAACCAGTTCGGCACACTTTGGGGAGAGTTGAATGCCAAATCCGCTGTCTGGTGTCCCCGCACTGAAGAGGTGCTGCCCTGAGGCCTCCTGACTGGGGGTACCCCCGGTTCCTCTCCCCGACCCGCAGCTGCAACCAGACCGACCTTCCGTAGAGGGGGTAAACCATAAAGAGCTTTGTGGTCTCCGGAGTTCCCGCAGCTGCCAAGCGCAAATGCCACAGACCTCTCCCACCTGGGTTCAGCGTTTGCGGCAGGCGGGCCAGACCTAGGAACAGCTTTTAGACTGACTCCGCCCCAGTCCCTCCCAGAAGACTGCCCTCCTTAAGGGCGCCAACATCCGCCGCCTGTAGATAAACCCAGGTGTCCTGTTTGTTCCAGCCCCCCCCCCCAGGGTGCCACGCCTCCCACGCCCAAGACCTGCTGTCAGGCCTTCCAGCCCCTGGCTGCAATTGCCTCCCCTCCCTGAAGCAGTGGCAATTTAGAACCAATTCTTTCCACAATGGGATCAAGCACTGGGGGATCAGGTGCCCTTAGGGCTGAGTTGTGCTGAGAGGAGTTTCGGAGCATCCCCTCCACCCCAACCTCTTTACTGGTGCCTATTGCTCTTCAAATTCCAGACCTGCCCCTGTGGCAAGAAAGGCTGAGGAGGGAGACCATTTTTGTTTCCTGAGTCATTCCAGCAGGTGCTTGGACGGTGATTCAACCCCTTTCCCAAGTGAGAAAATTTAAGCCCTCCCAGCTCCAATCCCTAAACCTAGATTTCTCTCCACTGCCATTGAATTATGGCAAGTTTTATCTTCAGTCCTCCAAGTCATGAAGGGGCAGCCAGGAAACCCAGGACAACGCCCCCGAGTTGAGAGGTCTGTGGTGTGCATGCTGGAGAAAAAGCTTAGAGCCAGATCAGAACACCAGCAAGGAAAGAAGGCTGGACACCAGGCTTTCAGAGGCTGCTGTGAGGGAACCCTGCTCCCCTCTTGCCAAGGCCCAGCCCAAGCCCCAGGCTTCAGGTAATCGGATTAAGCAGCCTGCCTTGGCTCCCAGCTTCTAGCAGGAACAGCTCCAGCTCTGAGCAGCCCTGCCTAGCCTGTGCCATGACTCAGGGTATAGGAGTGGCCCAACTCCCTCTACCAGCAAACTTGGGGGAGGAGAGAAGCAATAAGGCACAAGACCCCCTCCCCTCTGGACCAGGAGCGAGTACCTGGACCTGGGGAGTTTAAGAATGTCAGAAATTCCCAGAAGACAGACCATCTTTGGGACAAGAGACAATGAGAAATCAGGTATGGAGGAAAAGAAAATGAGCCAGGGGCTAGGGCAGGTCAGTCCTAAAGAAACAGATGGACCAAACTGGGGACAAAGGCGGCACAGGAGCCACAGAGCCATTTGGATTTTTTTATTCTCTTTTTAAATACTGTACAGTGAAAAATAAATACGCCTTCTCATCCACCAGACAAGGTCGGTCCCCTCCCCCTGGGGACCTTGTCACCCCCCTTCATATACACCCCTGGTTCTACTCCAAAACCTTCCCCGTGCCTCCCACCCACTTATCTCTTACTATCCCCGTCTTCCACAGTGATGAGGCCCCAGAAATGGGGGGTACAGGATGGGAGGAGGGATAGCAGGGGAGGCCCCCTGAACGGTCAAATCTGGGTGGGTCAAGGAGCACCCCCCCACCAACAGGTGGAGAATGGGGGTGTTCAGAGAGAGATTGGGGCATTAGAGGATAAAGGCACATCCAGTCTGATGGGGGAGAGAGGCTCCCCTTACCCTGGGGGTAGGGTGGACAAGAGGGAGGGGGTATGACCCTGTTACACACCCCTCCACTAGCTCCTGGAGGTTGGGGGGTACCCAAGCTGCTGTGCCACCCCCCTCCCCCCTAGATAAGAGCAGCTCCAGCGCAGGTCAGTTGGGCCTGTGAGGGCCATGGTGTTGGGCAGCAAGCGAGATGGAGAAGGGAGGGATGCAGGCTGGAGGTTTTATGAAACCCCATTCACCATACTACCCAACTCCAAGGGGGCAGAGAGCTCCCCATTCTCCGAGGGGCCCTTAGGAAGCTTGCTGACAGAGTCACCCTGAGAAGCAAGTGGGAAAGAAAACAAAATCAAGCACACGGTGAGCAGAAACTCAGGTGAGGGACATTTCCTACCATCCAAGCACTCCTGGCATCTGGTGATCCAGAGGTTGGTTCCTTGATCCCATGATCCAGTCTCTCTTACTTGGGATCCAGAAAATGTGAACTACATAATCCTCTCTATCCCATTCGAAGTTGACACTATTCTAAACTCCATCAGACACAACTGCCTCTGCAATTCAGTAACAGATTTCTTTTTTCTTTTGAGACAGAGTTTCGCTCTTGTTGTCCAGGCTGGAGTGCAATGGCGCAATCTCAGCTCACAGCACCCACTGCCTCCCTGGTTCAAGCCATTTTCCTGCCTCATCCTCCCAAGTAGCTGGGATTATAGCCATGCACCACCACACCCAGCTAATTTAGTATTTTTTAGTAGAGACAGGGTTTCTCCATGTTGGTCAGGCTGATCTCGAACTCACACCCTCAGGTGATCCACCCGCCTCAGCCTCCCAAAGTGCTGTGATTACAGGCGTGAGCCACCACCCCCAGCCTCGGTAAATTTCTTTGTGAAATTTTGTGCACCCCCTGCCCCATAATAATAAAAAAAAATGATAGAGTAAACCACATCTTGCCTGCCTACCTTCTGTCCTGAAAGAGAGTCCTCTGAGGGTTTAGTGCGTTCCAGGGGTGGCCGCTGGCGGCTCTGAGACTCTGCTCGTGAGATATAGTCAGCCACAGTCACTAGGGAAGGCAGGACATTAAGACTTTGAGATAGTTTGCCATGAAAATTACAAAAGAAAAAAAAAAGATGGAATTCTGGTAGCCAGCCCAAGATACCCACTGAACCCGAACCCCTGATTTTCACAGGGTAGGAAGTATCCCATTCTCTCAGCTCTGAGGAAGAATTCTGGTGTCCAAAGTTGGCTGACCTGGTTGGCGGTCTCCACTGATAGAACCATCAGTCCGATTACCACGGTTACGGCGGCGGCGGCTGCGATTACGACGTTGGGGTCTTGATTCGTCTTCTGTAGGGTAGGGAAAAACCAGAGTCACACATCCAACCTCCCACCCTCAATTCTTACCCATCTCTAATTTTCCAGATCCCAGGCACACCCTCACCCAGGCCATTCTCTGTCATGTTGGGCCCATCTGATTCCAGGCCTCCATCTATGATGGTCCTGTCTTCATCAGTGCGGCGGCGGCGGGAGCGACGGCGCCTGGCACTTGCTGGGGGGGGTTCCCCAGGCTCTGAATCAACCGGGGGCTCTGGTTCAGATGTGTCCAATAGGCTGTAGGGATTACTGTCTGGATCCTTCAG